GTTTGGCTCTAACTTGCTGGTGCTGAGTAGGGAATGAGGGAATCACCCCTATGAATCATCCCCTATGGCTTCCTGCAAGGGAATCCTGAACCAGCTGACAGGAAGAGGTTTGCCTTCAGTTGAGTTGGAAGGAACACCTCCGTAGGCCGCTATTGCATGGGATGTCCTCGGAGCGAGGCCGGCCGGGACCGGGCCGTGTCTACAAATCAGGACCCCCAGGTTCTTTCAGCAACGGTCTCCAGGAGGATTGGCAGTGCAAGCGGAGCATCCAAACGCCCAATTCTCAAGCGCACCATCATGTCCTGACCGTGTGAGTCCATGCAGCCAGTGCTCACGCGACAACCAGCAGGAGCATCTACAGCAAAAGCAAGGTCGGTGTTTCCCGAATGTTTGGCAAGTTGATGCAGATAGATGCTTTCGTTTCTTTCTGCGATGGCCGAACCCCTAACCCATCCAAACGAAAACACAAATCCAAGCAACGGACAACGGGCGGGGGGGGAGGGGGGCGCAGGGCGGGGCTCGGAGCTCAAGGTCACGTGCTGGAGGCGGACAAGCCCCTGAGCGTTTGCAACGCGATGTTCGCCTGGGTGAAAGGCAGCGAGCTGCCGGAGGACAGCGCTGGTTTCTCCTGGGCCTGCAGCGACGGAGATGACCCCATGGGACATTGGCTCAACGTGGTCAAGTTCAGGAAAGTGGCCCAAAAGGGCCAAGTGTGTCAAGTTCAGGCATTCGGCAAGCGACTTCAAACAGCCGCTTCCAACAAGCCACAACGGACCCGATACAGATAGCTTTTTTGAGCGCATGTCCACATACTTGTCCCATGATGGTTTTGGAAAGTGGCGGTTGCGCGTCCAACCTGGACGAGCATGCAAGCATGACTAACACTCTTGCCGTTGTCAGAGCCAATGGTAACCTGTGAGTGCTCCCCCCCCCCCCCGAAATGGATGTGGAAACGGAAGGCATCAAACAAAGGGTTGCAACGGGTAAGATTGCTGCTGCTTTTGGCTTTCCGGCCCAGAATGGAGCAACTCTTGGTTCCGCCTCAATGACGTTGTCGTCGGAAAGCAACGCAATTCTCGCCCTGAGCCTTGCAAAGCTCACAAACTTGAAGACCAAGCTGGCAGTATTGGCAGTTGTTCTTTTGCACGGTATGCTTGGCCAGAAACGGCACGGTGTGTCACTGTGTCACACTAGCGTAGAGCCCCACGAGTACTTTGCAAGCTTCTTCCAAGGCCCGAGCTGATTGGGTGTTTCGCAGATCCGAACCTTTTAGGAAGAGTTCCTTCGCGCCATCTGGGAAACCCTGCTTGGTTTGCTTGCTTCATCTTGCTTCTGTAATGCTTGCTTGCTTGCTTGCTTGCTTGCTTGCTTGCTTGCTTGCTTGCTTGCTTGCTTGCTTGCTTGCTTGCTTGCTTGCTTGCTTGCTTGCTTGCTTGCTTGCTTGCTTGCTTGCTTGCCTGTGATTGTGATTGTGATTGTGACTTCAGATGCGGTGCCACTGGCACCTGGACTAAACAGCGCAGGCTGTTTGTCCGCACAGGGCTTTGCGTTAACGCTGTGTTGTTTTTAAACGTGTGTGTGTCTGTTGTGTGTGTGTGTTGGTGTGTGTGTGCGTCGGCGCGTTGTTCGTCCGTGGGTTAGTCTCTTTGTGTACCTGTGCCTGTTTTGTTCGTGTTTATGTTTGTGTTTGCCCTTGTTTGTCTTTGTGTTGTTTTGTCCTCGCGGCCGCAGGACGTGCTTGTGGAGGAAGGCAGGGACGAGGTCGAAAAGCAGATCGAGGTGCTGCCCTTGGGTGCTCTGGTGAGCCAGAATCACTGCAAGCGAGGAGAGTGTCCAAAGCTATCGGTTGAGGCTTGCCAGCTCTTCCAGTTTGTCAAGGAAATGCCCAGCCTCATTCGCATCTTGAGCGACCCAGACACCTCTGCGCACGCGGGATGGGCCGAGATGTATGATGGCCGGTTCATCCCGGCCTTGAAGCACGCCTTGGAGGCTCGTATTTTGCGCGGATAATGTGATTGGTAGCTGTTGGTGCGGTTCGCCCCACTCCAACACACTTTGTAATGTCCTCTTGGGACTCGGGACATAGCCAAAACCAGTTGTCGTGCAGCGTTTTGATCTTAAGTCCAAACGCATGTGCAGCGTGGACTGGTGCATGTAGTTAGGTGCGCCAGCTACCCAAACGACTGCCTCCAGCCACACCTGTCCTGAACCAGTTTGCACCAAACTGGGCACTGGATAAGCGCCCGCACCTATCATTTGCCAATATTTGCCAGCTACTTGCAGGCATGCACGTTTGGTGCGCCAAGAAATGTCCACGTGTCAACTAAGGGCATCTCATCTCTACTTGTCTACAAACAAGAGTGGTTTGCTTGTTGGCTTCTTCTTAACAATCTTACCACTTGCCGTCAGTGGCAAGCAAACAGTTGACTTTGTTTGGCCAGTCCAAGTCAAATCTACACCCCCAAGCTTGCTGGTTCTGCGCCGGGAATGAGGGAACGAGCCATCACTTGTGGTTTCCTTCAAGACCCCCTTCCGGTTCATTCCCAAACCCCCGGTTGACCCAGAAACTGGGAAATCCAGCAAGCAGATGCTCAAACGCAGGAGGATGACGACAACCGGGGCGGTGTGCAGCAGATTGTGCGCTGCGCTATGAAGACCTTGGCCGCAGCCTGCGAGGCGCTCCGCGGCCTTGGGCGGTTTGGATGGCTTTCTGCTTGTCGAGTCAGTGTTTCCTCCATTTCCCTTTTTGGAAGCTCCAACAGTTGCAGATTTAATGCAAACCACCAAGAATTCAATTGTTACTTTTGAACGGGAAATCCAGTGACTCTTGTGTTTGTGTGCGGTTCTGTGTTTGGAGGGCACCCTTTACAATGTGTGTGTGTGTGTGCGTGTGTGTGTGTGTGCGTGTTTTTTTGGTTTTTCGGGTGCAACATCAATCCTTAATCCTTCCAGATAGCGGTTCACCCTGCTGTTTCTCACTAGGGAGCACGGACATGGGACCCCGCCATTTGAACAACCAAGATGGTTGCTGGGCAACTGGAATTGCCGGGTGTTTGCTCGCGACCTCACCTATGAGCTGCCTTTGCGGGGATACCCCAGAATCACAGATGAACAGATGGTTTTGCACTTGGGTGTTTTCTAAAGCTGGGGAACGTAGGCTGATGCTTCCACCAAATTGGAGATGGCCGTCGATAATTTAACCTTATGTTTCAAAGAGAAATGGGACTGAGAGTGTCGGAGTGTGTGACGCGCCAACATGTAGAAAACGAAAGAGCCGCCACACGCCAACGCCAGCACCCCAAGCGGAAAAAGGAAGCGTGGCAAGGCGTGAAAAAGAGATAGGTCCTTTTTCAAGGGATGGTGAGCTTCCTTGGGAGCTTCCTTAAAAAAGCCAAAGGGGAGGTTGGCACCCAAATCGAAGCAGCGGCGACCATTCTGTCGCCCAGCGTCGATGTCGCACATGTTGGGGCAGGATGTTGGCGAGCATCATGTAACGCGGTGGCCGTTGCTCGCAACATTAGTACCATCGATTTGTCAATAGCGACTCGTAGATCGCCAAACACGACGGAGCGTGGTTTCAGAACCAGTTGGCTGAAGAGTTTGCAACGACGGCAGGTCACCACGCAGTTCAGTTTCTATGGCACTTCGAGGGGGGTTGACACTTGCAAAACATTGGAGGGTTGGGAACCACGTGAAGGTACCACGGAAGGTTTCGAGGAAGCGCCCATGCAAATTTATAGGGAATAGAAATCACCACTCATCTTGGCACGTCAGGTGTCGAGCAAGTATGCTGACATATCAGCGGAAAAGGCAACGCATGCAAGCGCAAACTCCTTTGCGTGCATGAGCTGTATGCTAGACAATGCTATAGACATGTCCATGGCCCCCCTGCACATCCACGGTTGTTGCCCTCCAGGGCATGATGAATCCAGCTTTTTGCAGGGGGGGTGCCAGCTCACGATGTGCCGGCGTGCCAGGTTCCCTGTGCACGCCGTCTTTTCCGCTACTGCGACGGCCTTGACGTGCTGCGGCGCTTCCAGGGATGGCTGCGAGAGGCATCCTGGACAAGTCACGACTGGATGAGGGAGGAGGCCCGCCCAAGGACAAACTGCCAGCAATGCATCGGAATGTCTCTACTGCTATTGGGTTGGATCTTTAGACTTTAACTTTTTGGATTCCTCATATTTTGTTTTCGCCAGCAAAAAGTTAAACTTTTTGAGGGGGCATCTACAGCACCCAAGATGTATCAACACCGGATGCCCAATGCTGCGAATGCCCACCCTAGCACAACAAAAAAACAAAATCCGAGCCACACGGCGCCATTGGCCCTGTGAAAGCATTCGCATGTTGTTGGCCATGCAGCCCTGCAGGATGCCTGACAGACCAGAAACATCCAATTATCACCTCTAAAACACAGCATGGTGGGCCATGGTTGTCCGGTCCTCCAACTCAGGTATGTAAATATAAATGATGATATATATATATATAGATACATTAATTTTAACACACAATAAATAAATAAATAAAAATATATATATATATATACACATTATAGTATGTATATTCGGCCTCATGTTGTTTCACCTCTCTTCACCCCTTTTTTTCCTTTCCAGCGCCCCTTGTTAGCCGTCCTCCCAGGTGGACGGCTGGGCGCGCGCCACCCTGAAACTCCTGGAGTCGTCGAGTGGCGAGTCGCTGGCGGCGATCTCCGCCGGGGAGCCGCTGCGCGGCTTCTGCGCGCGCCTGCGCCGCGGCAGTTTGTTTCAGCGTTCAATGGGAACAGATCAGTGACTCCCCCAAAAAAACGGGGAACCGGCTGCGGACCAGCCAGAAACATCACTTGGCCTCTGAAGTTCTGGGCTCCAGAAGCCAGAAGCCCCGCCTAGGCATTCGTGCAGGTAGGGGCTAGGCGCAAGTGTGCTGACGTGCTGCGCAGGCGCGAGTAACGGCATAGGCCAGGTTCTTGGCCGTGCCTTCAAAACACAACTATCGCTATCTATCGCTCAAATGTAGAGGGTCAAAGGTTTACTGCCCGCCGTAAACCTGCGGGTCCATTTTGGCCTGCCCGATTCTCTGTCAAATCCGATTTGTATTGTGGTGAATGCGCACATTCAGGCTCTTGCTTGTGCACTCTCTCCCCGCCCCCCCCCCCAAACAAAAACAAAAACAAAAACAAACAGACAATAACAGAAAAGAAGAGAAGACGCACGAAGCCCGGAATCGTGGGCTTGCCCAACAGTCCAGTTCCCGCTGAGGCAGGTGCGCTCCTCGGCGCAGCTCTTCGAGCAGCCAGGTGCCTTGGAGAAAGCTTCTGGGCCGCGAGGTCGGCGTTTTGGTCGCCGTGCTTTGGCGCAAGCACGGCAAACGAAGCACCCAAGCAAGCAGCTAAGAAGAGCAGAAGGTGAAGCCAGGAAGTGGAACATGGCTTCGGCTCTGTCAAGCTGTGCCTTGCTGGCACTCGGTTTAACCATCAGGAGGGCACTCCTTTCAGAAAGGCGTGACTGTCAAAAGGGACGAAAGACAGAAAGACTTGACAGCCACCTTGTCAACGTGTGACATTTTAGGGGCTATGTGCTGTCCAATCATTAGGCTTTGTGTTGGATATCAATCGTTGCCTTGTGCCCAAGCAGCCATACTCGTAGCGTACCATACCTGTGATCAATTCCAAAAGCAAACGAACGTGAAGGCAACCACTTGACGGAGTGCCTGAGCTTGAAACGTGTGACAGCCACGTTTCAAGATGCCCTCCCAGGCATTGAACAACAAGTGACGGAAAGGCAGGCAGGAGTCCCTATCAACGATTCGGGAATGTGGGAGGTCGAGATCTGCTGGCGCGCCAATCTTTTGTGACAGCCAGGGCAGTGGAAAGGGAGTTTGCGAATTGCTCATGGCGGTTTGCAAGGGAAGCTATCCTGATTTGCCCGCTGACTGTCTCTCGGTGCGCCGGCACGCCTTTGTGTGTGGGTGTGCCTGCCTGCACCGCTGCCGACAGGAACGCCTCAGTCTCTTTGCATGTACCAGTTTGGATGGATTTCATTTGACTCTCATTCCCAATGGTTTTGTGAGGACCGCGCGCCGCCGAAGCCCTCAGCCCCACCAAGGTGGGAAGCTGGTGGCGACGCTGGGCCGTGGACACCAGCTGGCGGCAAGTGCGCATCAGGGCCTTTGGCGCCTTGGTGGTAAGTCAACGCGCCCCGGGCGTGCAGCGGTGAGGGAAATGGGAAGGAGGCGAGCGTGGCAAGCTCGAGATGTGTTCCTTTTTTGGGTTTGGGGATGTTTGACAACGCTGGGACAAAGCAAAGCATTTTTGAGGTGTCCACAGTTTTTCCACGAGGCAACGCTGGTTGGAGGACTTGTGAGTTGCCTTGCCCAGGGGGCAAAACGGCGACATGCAATTCTGCTGAGGAGCAAGCCTGGCTTCCCCAAGCTTGGTTCCAATGGCGGGGCTAGGTGGCAAGCTTGTCACTTCAGCATTCAAGCGGACCATTGGGCCCCCGAGTTTGTTGCTTCAATCTGATGTCACGCATGCAAGTGCACAGGGAAACCACTCGCATACGAACGAATAGGCACGTATGCAGGCATCATGTGGTGGTTTGCTTCGGCCCACCCCTGTTTCGTTGATCCCTGCGACGCTCTTGCATTGTTTCGTGGGTATGGCTTGCATGTGAGCGCCTCCTACAGGGTTTAAACATCCAGGGGGGGCTTCTGCTGGGCTCGCCTAAGCTCCCATAAGCACCTGGGCATGAGAGTTCCTACTACCTTTGAAGAGAATGTTTGACCGCCGCTCATTCTGTTCTGCGCTCGTGGGTTGCCTTCGATCTGATAGCGAGGATCCGCGTGAGTTACAACAGCAAGGTCTGCTGGCTGCACGACTTTGAAGGAGGCAATGTTTGCGACATTACCTACTGGGATGTCAGCAGCTGGGCGGAGAAAAATAAACCTCGCTGGCTGGCACAACAGTTGTGGCTCCAGTGCCCTGAGGCAGATTCCGGCTGGCTAGAGTCCTTTTGCTTTAGTTGGCGTGATTGGCTTCGTCACGCAGCCATCTGCAAAGCAAGAGACTGCAAACCCATGCATTCATTGTTCTTGCAATTGTTCAAGCCCATGATCAAATGCGGCCGCCAAAAGGTCACCACAAAGTTGAGTGGCTTAGTTCCTTCATGGAACGCTTCAGCTCGGACCTGCTGGAAGAACAAAGTAGCCAACCGCGCCAAGCAATGCCCTGGGGCCGTCCGAAGCATGGGGCAAAGGGCCCGGGCCTGTCCCCGCGACCCCGGGAGGAGCAGTCCGCCCACTACTTCCAGGACCGAGCAATGGGCTGCATGAGCCAGGAACGCTAGAGTCCACCCTCCCATGCCCCTCAATCAAACATTATGCAGAGGATGCACTATGTTGATGCCATGCGGTGGGTGCCAGAGCATAGAAACACGCCTTTGTTCGCAGCGCGAATGCTTCGCTCCGTCGCCCATGACTCACCAGAGCGCGTTGCGTCCAGGTACCTGGCCTTCACGCAAAGACGCCCAGCCAATATATCCTGCTGGCTGCAGTCATGGTTGGCGAATGGCTACATGTTGAATCTGGCAGTCCTTTGTTGAGTGGGCCCGAGGTGAGTCACCAAGGTTGGCAAAACATGGGGCAAAGCCACTTTTGCTTGCAAGTGTTGGCCGTTCCCCCCCCCCCCCCGGTTTCAGTGTTGCAATGGGCCACCCTCCAGACGCAGCTGCTTGAGGCGTTCAGCTCAAGTGTTAGGCAAAAGTTCAAGAGATTCAGCCATGGCCTTCAACTTGCCAGTGACCCTGGGGTCAACACCCCTGACCGGGAAGGTGGACGTGGCTGCAGCTGGCACCGGCTCTTGGCCATTGCAAGGTGCTATGCCTGCCCCTGGCACTACCTCACCTCGGCCTGCCAACGCCTACGCGCCGCAGCCACCGCAGGGCATCCAAGGCTTCCAGGGCATGTCCCAGATCTTTGGCACGCCCCGAGGGGAAGCGGTGATGCAAAGCTCGCCCCGGTTTGCGCAGGTCTTGCCAGGGACTCCCCTGGAAGCCGAGGCTGTTAAGGGCGTGGCCCTAGAACAGGCCCCGGCACAGGCTAAGCACTGTGAAGACTCGAGCAATGAAGATGAGGCCAAGAAGGCAAACATGGAAGAGGTGAAAGAGGAGCCGAGAAAGGAGTCAAAGGAGGTGCTGAAGGAGGAGCCCAAGGAAGTGCTGAAGGAGGAGCCCAAGGAGGAGAGCAAGGAGGAGCCCAAGGAGGCAACCAAGGAGGCACCAAGGGAGGCACCCACGGAAGCGCCTAAGGAGGTGCCGCCTGTGCGAAAGGCCCCGCCCCAGTATGGACCAAGCAACTCTGCGCGTCGCGCGCGCGTGCGCAATGGGGAGAACCCAGATACCCCGGTCGAGCCGCCTCAGTATGGTCCGAACAACTCCGCCCGGCGCGCACGAGTTCGCAACGGCGAGAGCCCAGATGCCCCGAGCTCCAGCCCGCTGCTGAAGCCAGAGGCTCGCACTCCCACCGCCAGTGCGCGCTCCAACAGCTCCAACAGCCGACCGGCCTCCCCTACCAGCCCAAGCTCCCCATCACGACCTTCACTGCCACCCCCCCGCGCAGTGACACGTGCGGTCAGCGAGAAGAGATTGGCGCCAAGCCCGAAGAGCGCACCGGCCAGTGCGCATCACAGCCCAGTCTCCAGCCCCATGGCCAAGAGTGCTGCTGGGGCGGCACCGCAGAAGTTCGCGCTGAGGAGTGTCCGTAGCTTTGCGGAGAACAAGGATCATGAGAAGTTGCCTCGCGCAAGGTCCCAGAGCGTGAAAAGGGTGAAGAACCCCGAAGATCCCTTCGACCTGCAGCGCTTTGTTGACCCTCAGAGGGAGTCCATCGATGGGTCCGTTTTTGAGAAGGCCCTCTCAGAGATCCAGGCTGGCCGCAAGTCTTCCTGCTGGATGTGGTACATCATTCCGTCGCCACCTCACATGAAGAACAACATTGAGCATGGCAGCGCCCTGAACCGCAAGTATGCCATCAGGTCCGACGAGGAGGCTCTTGCGTTCATCAACTTTGAGGAGGGAGGACTGAGCCTTCGCGACAACTATTACAACATCATGTTTGCTGCGAACGAGCACATCAAGGCGCGGAGTAGTCGTTCCCGGGTCTTGCCGGGCTCCGCATGAAAATAGGGGTCCCACGCCATCCCACGCCCACAGCAGTTGGTTTCTTGGGTGTGCATGGGCCATTCCGCAGTTTTTGCCCTCGAGGCTGGCAAGCATCCAAAGAATGTCATCGGCGGCTTCGACGAGCCCAAGCTCTACTCCTCGGTCATTTTGTTCGAGCGAGTTAGCCGCGACGTGGACAAGGAGCTGAACGATCTCATGGCTCCTCGGTTTTGTTTCTCCTTTGATTGGTTGCTTCGTTTCGGGTTCTTTGCCCATTTGGATTCGCCCATTCGGGACGAATCCTTCGTAGGCAGTCATCACTAATAGCTCGAACTGAGGTGGACATGGCCGGCCACATGGGACTTACATTGTCAAACTGACAAAGTCCAGAGGATGGGGTCGAATGACTTTGGCGGCCACTGAGTCACAAGGGTTCAGCGGCGCCAACAAGAATCTAGCATAGATTAGATTCGCTGTAGCCTTGAAACTTAAAGTACAAGGCCCTTGTTTCAAGCGCTGAAGCGCCGCCCTGCTTTTACCTGGGAGTGTTTGAGAGTCTGAAGTTTGGAAGGTTACGCGGGTTTTTGGTCCATGTTTCCACTTACCAAGGTTCCATTTTGGAATTCCGATTTTTTGAGCAGCCAGGTAAAGGCAATGGGTCTCTATGTTCTTGAGTTGGGGCATTCCCCTCCCTCCTTGCGCTATGCTTAGCCCGGCCAGCCTCAGCATCTGTTGAGTTGGTCTCAGACAAAGAGAGACCAAGTCCGGGCTTGGCCATTTTCCCAGTGGTCAGCACGATTGCGCGGAAGCCGCGTGCCTAAAACAAGGAGCTGTGTCTTTGACGGCCGCGGCTTCGATGGGCAGAGCGCAGTTTGTGTTTTTGTGTTCGTGTTTGTTGTTCCTTGTTTGCTTGTTTGTTTGTTGTGTTTGTGTGTTTGACTCTGTCTCTGTCTCTGTCTCTGTGTCTGTTTGTTTCAGTGTGTGTCCGTGTGTAGGACCTCAATCCACAACTCAAGGTCGAACGACTGGAAACGTTTGTTTGCAGACAGCAATTCAGAGGATGCATGACTCACGCTGCTTTGGCAAAAGCTGCTATAAAGCTGCTTACTAAAATCATGAAGCAACTCAGTTAGCATTGCCCCTTCCATCCAGTTCACTGCTGACAGATGCTGACAGCATCCAGGATGCCGAAGATAGCTCTCCATCGCGACTGAGTGAGGTCAAGAACCTTGATGGCAATTGCAGGGCCGATTGACGGGAGTTTCCCAGTACATTTTGGAGTTGGTATCAATCTGTGCCAAGTGCTAAGGTGTTTGGTGCAGCGTGGGGTTTCGGGTCACCAGCGGGGCGCGAGAAATGAACGGCTGGTGTTAGACAATGGCACGTGGGTCCCCTTAAATAGGGATGCTTTGTGGCCTTGAACGTTGGCAGGCCCGTTGACATCGCAACTGTGGGCCATGCTCTCACATTAACGGGCTTCCGCTACTTCCATCCTGCCCTGGCAAAAGATATTTGAACCGTAATTTCAGCCTTGTCATCAGGGTTGTTTGCGGCGTCAGGAAATATAGTTGCCATTATTCAAGCCTGTATTGCCTTCCGCGTGGCCGTAATCCCAACCTTTCCCCCCAGCCAAAACATCACTCAGCACTCTTGACTCCCTGGTCAGACCAGGGTAGCTGAGGAAAGTGCTGGAGGAAATCAGCACCCTGGAAGAATGCGCGCAGAATGGGAAGCAGCTACTGGGCAGCAGCCAGCAGTTTGCAGAGCTACGCTATTCACTGTGCAAATCAAGCATATTAAGACCAACATGCGCAGCAGAGGCCCAAGCAAACTCGAAGGGTCGGCATACAAGACTGGCACAGACACAGAGAGAGCGCGAGAGAGAGAGAGAGACACACACCACTCAGAATTGCAACACACACACACACACACCACACGCACACAGTGCACCACGAACCAAAACACACACACACACACAGTCCTGTTTGCCAAGGTTGAGCCTCAGTCAGATGAAGAAGATCCAGTCCAAAGCCACCCTGGAAGGAGAGTTGCGAGGATTGGAAGCCGGCGACTCAGAGGAGGGCCTCCTCGCAGAGTTGCTGAAGGAGCCCCGAGCTTTGACCCAAACAAATTGAGCGTACGTCACAGAAAGCCATCGGAGTTATTTTTGTTGAGTCTCAACTTGAGGTTGGAAACCCCGGGCTTGGCGTTTTCTTTGATGTTGGCCCATGGACCCTCGATTTTGTCTTTGATTCGGTCAGGAGAAGGAAGAGCTGGACGCGGAGCTCAGTCCAGCGGCGCAGGCCCAACTGGTGCCAGTTGCAAAAAGGGGTGGTCTTTTGTTCAGGGCACCTCTCCAAGGCTGGTTTTCCTTGCGGCTTTGCTCTGAAGCCCACCCCAAAGAATAGTCTTAGAACAAGAATACCGCCCAAGAACTGCCATGAAACGCCGGCGCTTTGTCAAGGTAAATGGCTGAGCCAAGCTCATAAGCTTTGGGAAAGTCGCCACTTAGCCAGAGAGGCACTGCTGCTGAGCCAGCCGGTCAGACAGTTTGTCATTCGGCTGCCCGTCGGCCAGTGAGCCAACTAGTCGAGCTCAGCCAGTTACAAGTTTCCTAGCTAGAGGTAGTCTGTGAGCTAATTCGCTACCTAGAATCAGCTAGCTAGCTAGCTCAGCTAGCTCAGCTAGTCAGCTAGTCAGGCAGCTAGCTTTTTGGCTTGTCAGATAGCTAGTTGGTGAGCTTATTTGTCAAGTTTGCCAGAAAGTGAGCAAGCTAGCAACTTAGTAGGTCAGTCAATCAGCTTTAGCTAGCTGAATCTGCAATACACAATTTGATAGCTAACACAACTATCTTGGTTGGTTAATTGATTAGTCAGTCAGTTTAGTGAGCTAGTGGCATAGTGACTTTGTCAATTCCAGTGGCTGTTTAACACTCGCATAGTTGCAAACTGCAAAGTGAAGCCTACAGCACAATTGCGTATGGCCAACAGCCTGAAGGGACGCAGTGTCAGAGACATGTTGTAGTTGTTTCACACCCGCATCCAACCTGTAGTCCCTTATTTCTATGAATAAACATTTCTCTAATAATAAGCACTCCCCCAGCCGACCCCAACATTGCCAGTACTTATTTCACATTTCCCAATACAAAACTTTCCCGAAACCAGATCCACTCAGCGAAACTCTCCAGATATGCTTATTAGGGGTCACCCTGGTCTTGCTCAAAAGTTGTATTCTGCGAGTTTTTTTCCCTCAAACCAAGGGTTGGGCATGCGTTTCCCTGCCTGGCCTGCTTTTAATTAAGCAGTTTGTTTTTCCTCCTCAGTAGGGGGTCAACAAAGGGTTGCCTGCATTATGCCTCCCTGCTTTTGGGTAGCAATTTGTTTTTTCCAAAAGCAAGCACGCCTTGCCTTTCAGAACTCTAATTCAAAAGTTGCATTCCGAGCGTGTTTTTGCAAATCCAAGGGTTTCCCAATTCCAATTTACACTAAGCAGTTGGCCCAAAACCCGGAGACCCTAATATTAGCCCCCGCCCGCACAGTTATTAGGGGGAAAGGATCAAGGGGCAGTATGGCGATTTCTTGCAGCTGTACCACGACCAGGGGCAGCAAAGATGCTTGCGTCATCACGACAATGTTGGGTAGGGTGTGTCTCTAATATTTTGTGGACCGGACCCCTTTTGGAGATGGTTTTGAAGGGGACCAAAACTTGGTGGCTCCCAGCCATCCCCAGCTTTTTAGCCTTTTAGTGTTTGGTGGTAATTTGCATTTAACCCACAAAAAGTTAGTGGCTTTTAGCGGGGGATCTGAAAACGGGCAGCCCAGTAAAGGAAACCAGCCTATTTGAGAACAAGGCGCGGGCTGTGCAGCCTGAGCTGCCCGGCGAAGTCCGAACACCCAATGCGAAGTCGGGCAAGGCGGGCCGGGTGGGTCGTTGAACACACCAGGCATTGCGATTGCTGAACACACCAGGCAAATATAATTTGCAGGCTTTGGGATTATTTCGGATGTTGATGCTGACAGAGGAGTTGTCGTCCTTTTGCACACGGCTCATTGTGAAGGCTGACTTGCTAGAAAGCTTGTCATGGTGTGTCTCAAGAGGGTGGACTTCCAAAATGGACGGTTTCGCGTTGGCCCGAAACCACCCCCCATAGCCCCATTTGTTGCTGTTTTGTGGGTTGGGCGCTTGCCAGAGGCCTGTCACTTGCCCATCCCCACAGCGGCTGCACGGACAAAGCTGGCCCCGCCGGGCCCTCAACGCACATGAGGAAGTGATGATAGGTCCATGCCTTGGTGACTTGAATTGTGAGGAAGCCCCTGCGCGGAACGCAGGGACTGTGCAGGTCCATTGGCATTTTGGTGGCCCGGCCGTGTTTCCCAAACAAAACCCTGGCGCCTCCGGAAACCACTCTTGCCATGCTTCAGGTTCCCGGAGGGTTCCCGGAAATGGACCGTCCAAGGGGCATGAGCTCAGGTGGGGCAAGCCCAGCCAGTCAAGTTCAAGACCGTCCTCCCGAACGCCTCAGCACAAACCTCAGACACCTCAGTCACCTCAGTCACCATCGCCGGCTTCGACGGAAGTGAGGCGGTCCGACAGGAGTTGAGCGGCGCTGGGTGCCGTACAACCAATCGCTGTTTGATTCTGAGAGTTTCCAGTTTGGACCTACCAAGGACTAAGCATGGCTGGATGAGTGCCATGCTTGCATGGGAAGATGCAATGACATTTGCCTCCACATTCTTGGAACTTAGGTGCTGATTTGGGATGTTGTTAGTGAAGCAGGGGGTTCTGGAATTTACAACCGTGAGGGTTGCAGTGGTGGCGAGTGCCGACTGGTGCGAATGGCGCGAACTGGTGGTTTGACCATGCAACTGATGCACTAAACGGCAACACCAAGAAGTGAAGCGCCAAGGCTCCACAGTCATTTCTCCTACACATGGGGGTTGATCAACAAGCCATTTAGGGCCCCAAAATGACGATGGCTAACTGTTTGTACAGGGACAACTGTTTTTTTAAGAATATTATTCATATATTTATCTTGCGCGAGCTAGTGAGGCGTCTGCGCTTGCGACGGGAAGCATCTTCCAAAAAGTTGCAGGGACCACAATTCGATCATGATTGTCGCGCTTGAACCCCCAGTTCACATCCAGCCGTGCTGATTGCGTTCAACATCCAGGGGCCGAGGGGCCCTGGCGGGGTTTTTCACTTGCAGGTCACCTTCCGCGACACCTTCCAGCGCTGCTCGCGCCGTTCGGATGCCCATCCCGGTGAAAGCTACGGCGCGCTTTGCGAATTCGATGCGTCGACTGGGGTGGGGGGCGTCTCCTGCCGGGCGGGCGGCGAGTTGTTGCTGCCACCTGGTGTCACCGAGGGCCCAAAAAGGAGGGTGATAGTTGCAGTTGGGTGAAGGCACAGTCGATGCCGCAATTTTCTGAATTTGGTTGGGTCATGCCCTTTCCTCCGCTGTGGGAATTGTTTCTTAGCCTGTGTAAATGGAATTGTGCATCTCTAGTTTATGAGAGCTATACACCTGCCACCGTTTTCAACACATGGCTGTGGGTCAAAAATAGGCACCCAAAAAGGAACCCTGGAAAAGGGAACCAAGGACCAAAACCTGCGGTCCCCTGGTGGCTTAATCTTGACCCATAGCACGCCCCCCGCCGGCCAGGCGGAGCAGCGACAGCAGCTGGAAAGCCTCTTGGACGGATCTAGCTTCTTGCTGGTCGTTGCTCCCCTGGGAATGGGACACCCGAATCACCCGAAAGGGGCGCCTTCTTCCACGGGGTGAGGTTTGAAGTTCCGGCAGTCGATCCCAGAACGTGGAATGTGCCATTGCGCCATTTGGACCCATTTGGGGCAAAAGCTACATTGAAGCCTGTCATCTGAAGTTTGGCAGCAACAAGCGAGTCAGGACTCATCCTTTTTGGAACTAACTTCTGAGCTGCTTTCCCTCATCCAGCACCGGTTGGATGGCCTCCTTTTTCAGCCAAGGGCTGAGTGGAGGCCGGCAGAACCGCACCCTTTGGCCGATCTGGCTGTGGGTCAAAACCAATGGCATTTGATTTTGGGGTAGGTGAATTCACCACCCGTTTTAGAACCTATTTTAGTGGTTGGATTGAATCGGATGTTGACTGGGGGCGTCTACGATTTGGCTTTGAAAAGCCCATGGCCCAGGTGACCTCGCCTTCTGGGGCCGGAAGTTCGCCAGCCAGGCGCAGATCCAGCAGGCCGCGGTGGTGGCGGAGCTCAGCCACGAGGCGCAGCACGGCCGCCTTTCGGACGAGCGACGGACCCTGAAACGCTGCGCTTTTTACGGACCCATTTGGTGAAATGAATGTGTGTTATTTTCCCATGTTGGTTTCAAAGGGAATCGATCACTACTGGAATATGTTTTTTATTTTTCCCCCAGGATACTTAAGCAAATGGAGGTTTAGGTTCCTTTACACCAAAGAAGGCTGGCCTCTCAGGTAAATGGTTCAAACAAGAACGGTTAAACGGGGGTACACAGCAAGCACTTGCGGGGCAGGCGGGGTTTAATTCACACTTTGGGCAGGGAAGCCGGTTGTCATCATGGCCGCACACGCTTGGCCTGCGATTTCCAGGTCCACGGCACGTGAGCCGTGAAGGTGTTTTGGGGCTGGCAGAGAAGAACCCGTTTGCGTTGCAGCTGGTTGCTTTGGTGCCGAGATCGGCTTGCAGCCCACTTTGCACAAACGGAAGCAAGCTCTCCCGGGGGGTAGAACGCAACAAGCTGAGGGGATGTCGCAATTCCGGTGGTGGACAACACTCATTTGTGCAGATCGATTTTCGGAGGCCATGGCCAGTGAGGATGCCAAAGCGGAGCTCATGGCATTGGTGGAGTATGACCTGGCGGGATGGGCAGTCGCAGTGGCGAGCCCCTATTCCTTTCGGTTCCAGGTGGTTCCCCTTGGTTCCGAAACCTGAAGCAAGAACTGACCAACAAAGGTGTGCTTTGATGCCCTGGCCACTTGGGCGTCTGAGTGTTCCACTTGTCCTTTCCTCGCCCACATCGTCGCAGCAAACAGCCGCGAATAGCACAGAAGTGTTCCGACGCCAGGGCTGGTACGCTAGTTGGGTTGGCATCACATGTGTGACAGTACTCTTCTGCACTTGGCGGTGTAATCTTCTTCACGCGGCAGTGTGTCCAATGAGGAAACCCCTCCAAATCATTGGTTCTGAGGGTGTTTGTATTACACCCTGGGATTACACCCTTGGGAAATGACCCAGGATGGTTCAAAATAGCACGGGTTTTATCCGGACATGTGCCTAAATGGGGTCAATACTCAGTGGGTGCATTCGCAGGAATTGATACAAAACCCTTAGATCGGTTCCATGGAGCGGAAAGGGTACTTAGTTGCGACCCAGCCCCATGCTAGCCCGGCGCAGGAGCTTCCAGAGGGAGCGCTGAGCCGTGGTGCTGTGGCCATCACGTAGCTTGCCAGCACTGTCCTTGTGCCGCTTAAGCAGTCAGTCCCACTGGTGACTTCCTCTAAATCCACCTGAGGTGTACATTCCTAGGTCCCAGGTATGATGGTTGGAAAGAACTCAGTTGGGATCAAAATGGGCCATTTCGAGGTCCCGAGCGAGGAAACGTGCAATGTGCCGAAACATCGCGCCCTCTCCAGACCAAAAGACGGCCAACCATCACAAAAAAACAACTACGTGGGATTTGTTCGCTTTCCCCGGTTGTCCAAAGATCCCTGGTTGTCCAAAGAAGACGTGCCGCATATCAGGACTCCTCAAAACCGCCAGACTGACACCTCGGAGGGTCTCTCCGACCTCTCCGATCCAGACTCCGCCTCTTGGATCAAGCCATCTCCAAGAGTGCCATTGGAGCTAAGCTGTCTGGGCTGCATTTTGAGAAGGGGGTCCCGCGAAAAGAGATTCTGCTGAGTGTGTCAATGTTGGGGGGCAATGTCATGTTTGTTGCTTTGTGAGTTCAAATGTCGCCAAGGTGTTTGCTTGCTGCAACACGGATGGAAGTGGCATGCTGGATGTGCACGAGCTCAAGTTTGCCTTCAATGCTTTCGGGCTTTTCCCGGGCCTTGACTACATCAGGCTGGGCCAGGGCCAGAGAAAATCCTGGAACAGCAGTCGACGCCATGGCTCTCGTGACGTTTGAAGTGATTCCCCTGGTCTCAGAATCAACGTTCGGCTTCCGGGAACTCCAGGCAAACGGAACTTGAGCCAGAGCTTCCGTATGGCCAGCATGTTTCGATGTCGGCGTTGCCTGTCAAAGTTTCAAGCGTTGCTCGGATAGGGCCTCGCTTCCCCTGTGCTTCCCTTCTCCCAAGAGGTTTCATCTTGCTGACCGCTGCCGGTACACGAATTGGTACCTGATCCCATCCCCACCGTCCAAATCCTCAAACTCAATCTGTGTGCTCGTTTTCTGGCCCGACCGAGTTTCTGGACTTCATCTCAAGACCATTTTGCCGGTGCTCAATGGGGAATGTTGGAATGATCCCAGGGATCCCTCAAAGGAAAGCACCAGTTGGATGGTTTATTAAGGTTCATTCATGTTCATTCCCTCAACCAGCAAGCCATTGGCGAATCAACAAGTTGTCCCACTGGCAAAAAGGGCGCCAGTCGGATTGCTGGACTATGCCAGGAGCTGGATGGGCCACTGTGAGCGACTGGACCGCAAGGCCTTCAGGGCCCTGCTGGATTCCAAGCTCCGCAGCGCCCCGCAGTCCATGCGGGGCCCCAAGACGCTGCCTTACAGCCGCCGAGGCGAAGCGGCTGATTTATTTTTTCTTGTTTTAATATATGTATATACTGGATATCTATATATATAGTGATATATATATATAGCTATATATATATATATATAGTCGTGTATATATATATATATATATAATTATAGTTGTTTTGATCCCCTGTTGGTTTTAAAGGGAACCTATGACTATACTGGACATTTTTCAAGTTTTTTTCATTTTTTCCCAGGGGCGGAAAAGCAAATGGAAGGTGGGGAAAGGAGTGCAACTGAGGGCAGTCTTTTCCTTTCTTGATTCCTACTTTCTCAGGGTTTCGGAAGGATACATTTTTCTGTAAGGGACCCCTGTTTCTCGGGGCTCTTTTGCCTGAGTTTCTTCTTGGCTATGCCGAGTTGATCTGGGTCCGGCGCCACTTTGCCCCTTGCCGTTCACTGTGGCCGCACCCTGTGTCCGATTCCTTTTGGACCGGATATCTGGGCGAGGACCAATGGCCGCCGCAACCAGGGGATCTATTTCGCACGTTGCCCAAACATGCCAAAGCAAGAAGTAGTCGAACCACTTGATCCTTGGCCACTGGAGGGCGTAGTGGCAGCCGCATCAATAAGCCCATTTAAACAGGCCTTTTTGGGCTGTTTCGGAAACCGGTGATGGGGAACCTCTTGGAGGGAGGGGATGTTGGGCTGCTGCGGCAATGCAGGCGTCCGCATGGGACAAGTCGAAGGACTTCATGATACCTTCATTTCGAGTGAGTGGCTCCAGCAGAAGTGCAACAACTTCAACATGGAACACCAGCTCCTAGGCCTGCAGTGAAAGCTTGCAAGCATGACAATGCGCTTTCAGCATCACGCCACCCTATTGAGAGATGCGATTTTCGTGGCATGCTGCTGGAAACGCCCGTATTTAGTTGAGAGGTGTTCAGGCCAGCGACAGCTATCTGAGGTCGGACATTCAGACTGGCAAGAGCTTCGAGACTTGTCGGAGATGCTTACGTGTGTTTGCTGCCTCACTGCCACACACGCTGGCACATGCCCTCCTGATACTCACATGAGGGAAGCCAAAAGAGCCGTTGCTGTATCCGGGCATTGTTTCTTGGGGAAGTTGGTTGGGTTCAGATAGCTTTCTGCTGGGTGGCACCTTCGTTTCAATTGGTGGTCGTCAGGCCCAAGCCACCAGGGGCGTCAGCGGCTGCAAGCTCAAAGCATACAATGGTGGGCCGAAACGAGGGCCCTTCTAAATGCTGGCTTTCTTCTCTTTGTTTGCGCGAGGGGGGAGGGGGTGGCCACAGTTGTAGATGCTTAATGCCTCTAACGAAGCACATCAGTCTGAAGCCGTGTGCCTGGAAGCGTGATGGCAGGGGGAAAGGCAATAGGGCACTTTTTGTGTCCAAGTGCACGATTACACCAAACTAGCACATGCCTTCCATGTAGGTTGTCAAAGCTCATGGCCGAAGTGTGAACGGAATGAAGCAGCATGGGAATCTACCCTTGTCTAAGTAAGAAACCAGGAAATTCTGCAGGACATCCTTGTTTCTGTTGGTTATTTATGCAAATTGCCGCAGAGAAAATCCAGCGGCTGAAGATATATGACTTTTGGAGATCTCAGGCAATGGCAACAAACCTGTACGCGCTGAACCAGTGGGTCATCATGCCCGGAACCTGCCCGAACTCGGAAGAGCTGCCGGAGGAGTTGCGCAGGCCGGAGGTCTTCACTGTATCAGGGCTTGCGGATTGGGGGCCACCAAGATGAGCCACACCATGATGACCGTCCCAAAAGGGTCGTCAAGGCTGCGAACCGCCACTCTCCACTTCGTACAAACTGATTTGCAACCCCCCAGAAGTGGGCCAAATAGAAAGCAGATTACCAAGGCCTTGCAAGGGGCCTTGCAATTCTTTGTGTCTGTGGTACTCGCATCTCGGGGAAAGCAAGGCCTAAGCAGGGCCGAAAACTTGAGATCATGAAGCCATGATCTCTGCAAAGCTGGCACGGGATTTTTGCAGAGGGTGCTCTCTCAAGGATGCTCCGCACCGGAGGTGCTTGCTGCGGTCAGCCGTGATTGCTTCAGACGGTTTGAGACAGGCACTGCTGGTAATGATTCGCCCCTCATTTGGCCTATGCTTTTGTTTGCAGCTTGTTTTTTTTTTTTTGGTCCGCGTGGGTCAGACTTGTCACCTGGCCTATCGGGTTTGTCAAACGACTGCGACGGATCTTTCCAGAGGTCTGCTGGTATGCCCGTTGCGCAGCACGAGACTTTGATGCATTTGAGGCCGTTGCCACCGCGCTTGAAAGCGTCTCTTTCAAGCACTTGAAGTTTATCGCTAGCAGCCATAAATGTCAATCGTCTAACTTGATGTCATGTGTTGTTTTGGGAGGCATCGTTTGGGATTGTGAGGCCGAGTCACCAATCCGCTTCGTCAACGGTTGTAGCATATCGAGGCAACCGCTAAGAAGGGTCTGAACGCAAACACACAGCATACCAACGTACTGTAAGCTCTGAAGCCCACTATAGTGAACAGCGCATCTATGGCTGCAACGCGCTGTCAAAGCTAGTTCTTTGGAAGATGCTAACTCAAAGGCCCGCTTCGTCCAAGTATGCAGCGTAAGAGCTTGGATGTCTAGTCCAAATGGCGTGCCAATTGGGCTCAGTGCAAGAATAAGGCATCACTGTCAAGGGGAATTTTCTGGAAGCTGCCAACGGGCGCGCTTCGCCCATTTTGAAGCTAGGGAACCAGCTTGTTTTGCGGGTTGGGGGGGGGGTCACGCGTAGAGGGGGGGGGTGGCTGACCGTTCGGTCTGTTTTTTTGTTTTTTTTTGTTTTTTTTTTTGCGGTACGCTTTGCAAGTTCATCACGCCGAGGAATCCTCTTTTGCGGAGCTGATGAACCCGGCTTTTCAGCTGCAAAGCGCGCATTGCTTGTGCTTGGAGTGTCAAAACTACAGAGTCGTTTGGGGGCAGTTTTTGAGAAAGAAACCCTACATTAGGCACTCTTTTTCTAAGCAGAGCCACTTGCACAGTTCCTTGAGCATCCGTGTCAGCATATACCAAGGACGGGCTGGGAGTGGACTACTTTGTGTCACATTTCTGGGGCCATCCCTTCAAGGACCGGGCTTTCGGTAGCGCAGACTCGAAAAAGCCAGCTGGTTAGGAGTGAGTTGCTGTTTCAGGACACCTGCGCTGCACTTCGCTCCTGGTCATCCCAGGTGCATTGGCAAATTGGGAAACTTGGCGGCCTGCGTGTACGCGTGGCTACTGCCTGTTTTTGCTTGGCCAAATGGCAGGGAGGTTCGAATGGCCGTGCGCACCATGCTGAACAATGAAACGATATTTTCATTCAGGGCAGGGCCACTGGCGGTCAAAGCCGTCTGCCTAAGAAAGAGAGCTGGCCTTATTAGTCGTCTTGCACCTCCCAACTAAGGAGGCCGCAGATGAGCATGGCGTCTTGGTATGCAGTCCAACGCTGACTTTGGGATATTTTGTAGCCCGAAAATGCGGACCTTCTATTTCCAGGTCACTTACGACAAAGGAGAGCAGACCGATCTAACATGTTTCAGCAGAAAAAAAGGCTGCTGACATGCGGAAGTGTTGTGTTTTTCCCGTTGTTGCGCTACCTTGGCCGCCAGACTGCCACGAGGTGTATTGGATTTGCCTGCTGGCACTGAACCAGCATCGTCCAAGCGCCTCGGTGGCGTGTGGGAAATGCCCTAGGTGGCATCTAGAGGACTAGTCTTCAGAACAAGGGCGGCTCATGGGGTACACATGGAATGGCGCCACTGGCTGTTCCAGCATCGGCTTCATTTGTCCAAAACTGAAACATCGCGTTTCTCCAGTGTTGCGTCGCTTCGGAGCCGCGAGGTGAGGAGGTGGGCTCGTCTCCGGAGGAGGGCCCCTTCAACTGCGCCCTGGTGCAGTCGGCCTGCGGCGCGGCGCCTTGGAATGAAGAATCAGACGGCCGAGGGCTCGGAGTCGGCCTGTGGGATTCGGAGCTTTCTGACCGGTGGGGCGTTCTCTGGTTGCATTTGGTTTCTTCAGACGCGAGTTTGCAGCTCAGGCTTCGGCAGGGCAAGGGCCGGGAGGAGGCTTATCAGCGGGACTCCTTACTACCACGGGCCAAGGACATGGACAGCTCCAGTAAAGACGTACCACCTAGCCACTGAAATGAAGTCTTTCTGCAGACCGGCTCCGGAAACACGCAGCTTCCTTCAAGGTATTTAAAGTGGACTAAAGCGGTTTCGGGCAATGGGCCGAAGCCTAGTGGATGCTGAATAGGGCCAACTCATCCTTCAAGGACATCCTTCGAGGACATCCAAAGGGTCTATTCAATGATTTTTGGTCAGCCCTTTACATGGTTGTTGTTGAAACACATTTCACATTTTTGCTTATTGCGGTTTAGTGGTTGAAATCAATTCCCGCTGAACTGCCAAACAAATACTAAGTTATTGCTTCCAACGGTCAACCAAGCCCTTTGCACGATCCTTTTCGTGCAGAGAGATGCCTTTCCCGTCAACCAAGCATGCGGGGATCCGTTTGTAGTGCAGGTCATGGTTCTGGACGAGTCCGTGGCGCCCTTCAGCCGCATCTGGTGCCTCTTCGAGGTGAAGCGCCTCACCGACCTGAAGAAGGCAAGGGGCCCGCTGAGGTACGGGGCTCCGGTCCCCCAGTAGTTCCCCTACTAAAATAGACTGCAGAAAACAGGGCGCCCTTATTCTAACCTCTCCACTGGAGGACCTAGATACGCAAACCACGGGGTTCACATTTCCGACCAACCCATGGCTTTGAACATTTTGCACCAAAGAGGCTGCAACAATGATAATGTTGAATCACAGGACAGCAGCAAGCAGACTGCACGGCCCACAGCACTGCATGGACGTGAGCATGGCTCGCGCAGAGCTGGAAGCCACGAGCCATTTGTGTCCATATGTGTTTTGCACATCCAAACTCTTGGAGAACCGGGTTCCTCCTTTTTTCTCCACTTTCAAAAGGGGGGGGCCAGAATTAATTCTGCAACCCCCCTTTTCAACCAATCCTGGGGGGGAGATGCATTTCCCATCCATGCTGTCAATCAAATGCCAGAGATCAGCTCGAGCAGCAGGACTTCCACCTCATCTCCGCGCAGGGCGCCATGGGCTCAAATCTGGTGGACATGGAGCCAGCACAGAGGTGCCTGCGATGCGAGGGCGACGTGGCCCGGTGTCACGATGTTATAGACGTCTTGAACTTCCATTTGCTGAAATGAAGATGTTTTTTCTTTATTTTCCCCTGGTGGTTTGAAAGGAGGCTCTATCACAACTGGACATGTGGCTTTCTATTTTTCCAGGGGGTTTGAGCAAAGGGAGGTTCAGGAAAGGGATCAGTGCCATGTAGCTCCGAGACCCCCAGTCTCACCAGTGAGATGTTCTGGCGCGGATGCTGAATGACCTGAATGTCCCAGGTCAGATGTTCTTGTCTTCCAAGTAGGGGTGGGCATGGCCATGCGCCCCGGTTGGATGACCACCCGCCATTTACGAGGTCAACCTTGCAAGTCCCTCAGTAGCTTCTAGCGTAAGTGACTTTTAGGTGGCTTACGAAAGAGAGTTTCTATGTGAGCTACAGATTCTGACAGCGATCATCAAACGCATTCCGGCCAACATGTGCACAGCTAGTTTCGCTGGGCAGGCAAACGCTGGTGGCGTTTACCTCGCGGGTCGCCTCAGCCCTGGAGTGCGTCTCCGCTTTTCAGGCAGCGTAGTTTGTTGAAAGCTAGGGTGCCTGCTGAGCTTTGGTGCTTCAGTTTTTCAATTTCCTAGTCATTATGTTGTTGGAAGTGAGAAAAGGGACGGCTCAACTTTCAATGTGCTCCGGCACGGCGCAGCTTTGTTGAAACGATAGCCATTGGCATCTGAGAGCGCTTTTTTCTACAGTCCTGGGGTTGGCCGAGGGAAACCGAAGACAAACCTGTGCAGGCAAAGTCCAGCAGCGAGGATGACAAGCTCCTCGGAATGCATGAATGCGTTCCACCAGGCCAACCCCCCTAGCCCCTAGCAATTAGATGCCCTGCCATTAACTGTAAATATCAACATTCAGACGGGGCTTTGTTCAACCATTTGGGCAAATCAACAGTTGAAACCGAATATCTGCGCATGAACCATCGTCAACAAGAGAGATGGAAGACTTCATGAATTGCTCCCCTCCCTCCCTCCCTCGCTCCCTCCCTTCCCTCCCTCCCCTCCCTCCCTCCCCTCCCCTCCCCTCCCCTCCCCTCCCCTCCTCTCCTCTCCCCTCCCCTCCCCTCCCCCCTCCCCCCTCCCCCCCTCCCCCCCGTCCTTCCTTTCTTCCTTTCTGTTGCTCTGTTGTTCGTTCGTTTGTTCCTTCGTTCGTTATGTATTTAGTTTGTTCTTTATTTATGTCTCTCCTTTTCTCTTTCTTTCTTTCTTTCTTTCTTTATTTCTTTATTTATTTATTTCTGTCTTTCTTTCTTTCTTTCTTTCTTTGTTTCTTTGTTTCTTTCGTTCTTTCTTTCTTTATTTCAGTTTTTCTTTCTGTATTTCTGTCAGTGTTTATTTATGTATGTGTTCAGTTGTTCTTTCTGTCTTTCTTTAAGTTGTTATTCATGTATTTCTTTCATGTTTTATTTATGTATTTCTTTTGTTTCCTTATTTATGTGTTTCTTTATTATGTGCTTATTTTGTTCTTTCGGGTTTTTTTTTTTTTTTTACTTATGTCCTTATTTTGTTCGATTGTTCTTTCTTTCTGTCTTTATTTCTTTACTTATGTCCTTTTTTGTTTCCTCTGTTTTTTCTTTCTTTCTTTCTTTCTCCCCCTCTTTCTGGTTAGGGGCTTGCCCGCTTGCTAGCCATCCCCGTTTGGGGATGCTCCGAGAAGGTTGCTGTGATGCCCGAAGCACGGACGTGACGCATGTTTGTTGCCTTGTGGTATGGGAATGCATTGGCAAGTGAATGCTAGAAAACTTGGACAGTTACGCTTTGGGCTACTTTCTGAACCATGTTGACATATATATATATATATTGATGACGCAAACTTTACTGTGCCTTAAGGCCAAGCATCGGACATCCCACCATGGTGATGTTTTACTTAAAGCACTTAAGACGTTCCCACTTGGTGGGCGATCGCTGCCCTTCCAGAGGAGGCCGGTCCTGCACGCGGGGGTTGGTTCCGCCTGGTTGGCCCACACCTCGACTAGTAGCACATTCTAGCACATTCCCATGATTTCTCTCGTCGACACATTTGCGGCCAGGGAATCTTATTCATTGAGTAAGAATGACTTCGCGGGTGTAATTATTTCAAGGTTGCACTTCTAGCTAGCAATCGCTCACCCTCTCACACTCTCGTGGTGAAACCCTCCCCCCCCCCCCCCCCGAGGTTTGCCATTTGGCACCGGGTGGCCGACCCGCAGCTGCAGAAGGTCCCCCTGGCCGTGGCGCGCGCCGCCCGCCGCGTTTTGAACGCGGGCGAAACTCGAAACGTCGCGCGAGCTGTCGAAAGCGGAGCCCAGGCCGGCTGGGGCGGTGATTTGGACATGGGGTGGTTCCTTTTCTCTTTTTTGGGGGGCACCTTGTCAGGTTGGAGCCAAAGTGAAAGATACCACTCTTCTCTTTCTTTTTTGGGGGGGCAAAGATACCACGTTTCTCTTTCTTTTTTGGGGGGCACCTTTTCAGGTTGGTTTCAAGGGAAGCCAAAGTGAAAGATACCACGTTTCTCTTTCTTTTTTGGGGGGCACCTTTTCAGGTTGGTTTCAAGGGAAGCCAAAGTGAAAGATACCACTCTTCTCTTTCTTTTTTGGGGGGGCACCTTTTCAGGTTGGTTTCAAGGGAAGCCAAAGTGAAAGATACCACGTGTCTCTTTCTTTTTTGGGGGGGCACCTTTTCAGGTTGGTTTCAAGGGAAGCCAAATTGAAAGATACCACTCTTCTCTTTCTTTTTTTGGGGGGCACCTTTTCAGGTTGGAGCCAAAGTGAAAGATACCACGTTTCTCTTTCTTTTTTGGGGGGCACCTTTTCAGGTTGGTTTCAAGGGAAGCCAAATTGAAAGATACCACTCTTCTCTTTCTTTTTTTGGGGGGGCACCTTTTCAGGTTGGATTCAAGGGAAGCCAAAGTGAAAGATACCACGTTTCTCTTTCTTTTTTGGGGGGGCACCTTTTCAGGTTGGTTTCAAGGGAAGCCAAAGTGAAAGATACCACGTGTCTCTTTCTTTTTTGGGGGGGCACCTTTTCAGGTTGGTTTCAAGGGAAGCCAAATTGAAAGATACCACTCTTCTCTTTCTTTTTTTGGGGGGGCACCTTTTCAGGTTGGTTTCAAGGGAAGCCAAAGTGAAAGATACCACGTGTCTCTTTCTTTTTTGGGGGGGCACCTTTTCAGGTTGGTTTCAAGGGAAGCCAAATTGAAAGATACCACTCTTCTCTTTCTTTTTTTGGGGGGGCACCTTTTCAGGTTGGTTTCAAGGGAAGCCAAAGTGAAAGATACCACGTGTCTCTTTCTTTTTTGGGGGGGCACCTTTTCAGGTTGGTTTCAAGGGAAGCCAAATTGAAAGATACCACTCTTCTCTTTCTTTTTTTGGGGGGGCACCTTTTCAGGTTGGTTTCAAGGGAAGCCAAATTGAAAGATACCACTTTTCTCTTTTTTGGGGGGGTACCTTTTTAGGTTGGTTGAGAGGGAAACCAATTTGAAAGATACCCTTTTCGGAGGTCCCCCTAGTTTGACACATACCCACATATGAATGTATATACATATATACACATGCAATCCTGAGCTCTTTTTTGGGGGACATCCTTCTGCGATTGGAGCGCCTTGCCTCAAGATGCCCGCCCGACTGCGGCCTCCAAGCTGGTGGTAGGGGGTTCGAGGGAATGAACCCGGGGAACCACTAGTTGGATGGTTTATAGGGGTTATTCCATTTCTCATTCCCTGCCTATCGCAGCAAGTTCTATGGCGTTCCAATTTGGTGCTTTGAAACTTGAGCTAAGAAGCAGGGCCCACCTCAGATCGGTCTGGCGGTTCCGAGCTCTGAGATGGCTTGCCTGTCTGAGGAGCGCAGCCTTTTCAACGCGAACGTCTTCAAACGGTTCGCAGCTTTGCTACTTTGAGAGAGGAGTTGTCACGCTCAAGTTCTGTCAAGTGACCTAAGGCATGCCAAGAAATCCGGGCTCTGTGTCCACACCTTGGGGCAGGCAGTTGGCCGAATAATTCGCAGTTTGGGCCCCCCAAAAGTGTAGCAATTTGCGCGGTCACAGCCAAGGACACCACAATCCGCAGTCTCCTAGCAGCACCTTTGTACCAGACCAGCCTGCTTGAGGATGCTTCGGGTGCTTTGCGACGCTTGCATTCAATCCCTTCACCCGAAGAATAAGCGGTCCCCCCCGGGGTTTTAATATTAAGGTCCCCCGGGTTTTGGGCCGGAACTGTTTCATAACTTTTAAAGAGAAAGCGCCCTTGCTTGTTTTCAAAAGAAACCTAATAATACAAACCCTGGTGTGTTTTCAAAAAGGCACCTGAAGGGAACCTCTTGGAAACCCTAATGAAAAAGTCCTCCTGCAAGGCAAGAAACACTAGGAATACAACGACCACGGTGGACCCCTAATAAGCACATCTGCAAGAGTTGGGAGAGTTTAGTATTGGTTTAGTATAGGGTAATTTAAAACAAATATTGGCAAGGGGGGGGTCAGGGGAAGGTTTATTAATAGAAGGGATTAATGTCGTTCTTCGAGACCCCCTTTCCAAGTAGCCGGTAGAGCAAGAGCTGGGCAAGCATGACGAAAGCCAAACCACTTATGGCAAGTGGGTTGCAGGCTACCACCCCCAACGGACCCCTTTTTTTTTTTGCCTTTGACCCATAGAAAAGTGGCCCAAGGGCAGTTTAAAAAGGGATCGGTCCTTTAGGGGGTCCAGATGTCTGACTCCACGCTCTTTGACGCCAGCCGCCCTGACTCGACTGAGGATACATCGGCATGGGCGCGCCCTTCGGGGCCAGCGACTTGCAGCTCCTGCGGGACCGAGGCGTCGACGTGTGCAAGGTGGAGGTGGGGGTGCAGAGCGGCCGGGGGCCTCAGCTGCATCCCACAAATTGGAGGAAGCAAAATAAACGGCGCAAGGGACCCAAGCAATTTGGTTGGGGTTTACGACTGGCAGGGGGGGGGGGGGTGGTGGGATTAAGCCCCCTGGCTTCTTGAAATCGATGCCGTCGTTTCTGGTTCAGGGACCTTTGGCATGTTGTATTTCCCTTTGTTTCACGTGGCTGTTTGGTGGATCAGCCCAACAGTTCTGCAGTTTAGCATGTTTGGCGGTATTGTTGTCATGCCTACTGGGATGCTGCACCTACTATAGTGTATAGTGTTGAGCACTGCCGTCAGCCTGCCCTTGCGACTAAGGGAAGCCACTGACACTGGCAATCCAGCAGATATTCGGACTCCGTGTCTAGTTTATTCGTGTAACCCTCCCCCCGGGCCCCGTGGCCCATGCCTTTTGCCCAGCGTCGCTCTCTGCTTTTGTAGCCCTTGGACTGAGGCACTCAGAGAGTCGGCTGGCAGCTCCTCCACATAGCGGCATACTTTGGCCACATGGAGGCTGCGAAGGCTGGGCGACTTGAAAGGTCGCGGGCCTTGGATCTAAAGCAGCCAAGGGGTTGGTCAATCCCAGTCTTGCCCAAGCAGGCGACAAGCTGAGTGCTGCGATTCAGTGCTTGGACATGGGCTTGTTGGCCTACTGCGATTCCATAGCTGAACACGTCAGAGCAGGTCAAACAGATGATGCCCCCTCGTGTTGGCGTGACTTGTTGAGGGTGACGTTTCTTTCAGGTGGCCTCCAGAAAAAAATCAAAGGGACACCGCTCATTTTGCGGGTTTTCACTTTGGATGGGGTTGCAACGCCAGGGTCGAAAACCATCGCTAGGAGCTGGTGCGCTTGCGGGCGAGCCTGGAGGCGACCGCCAGACGTTTGGAATCGAGGTTTGAAGGTTTTTTCTGGGTTTGTCTCAAAATAGGTGGTTGGGCGTTTTTGGGTTCCCTTGAAAAACAAGCCCAGAGGAGTTCCTGAGGCAGGCAGGAAGAGGTCAGGGGTTTCTGATTTCGAAGAAACCGATGGAGGGTTCCAGGTGACTGCCGTAGAGGGACCGATGCCCGAGTTTTCAGTCCTTCACCACCTGACAAGCCCAGAGAAGACGGTCAAAGATCTTGGATCCACTTGAACGCCCGGAAGGCCAGCGCAGCACGGGTCCGACCTTTGTCACCTTAAGTTTGGTCCGTTGCTGTCCGTTGCTCTCGTCTGAAGGCTTGCCTTGCAAGCCAATGCGAGAAGCCAGGCAAAGACCAAGTTCAGGCTCACGCCCTTGCAGCAGGCCGCGCGGAATGGACAGGACCTCTGAGATTCCGCTTGCACGGGGGGGGGTTCAGGGCAAGAGTTGGACTCCCACTGAGCAAACCTGGATTTTTGCACGCAGGAGGAGATGTGCACACTGCTGTTGAGTAGCAAGGCGCGAACCTGAGCCAGTTTTTTCAGCTCGTGCCTTGATGCATGCATGCCTATCAGCAGTTAGTATCCGTGCCTGCTTGCCATGAATGCCGCGCATGCCTTTCATCCTCTCACTGGCATGGGCGCAGCATTGTCCAGCTTTCGCTGGTGTCAGGCAAATCTCCGTACCACCGCGATTCAGGGCCGAACTGCGCTACAGAATGCTGCACACCAGGCAGGGCATGCCGCGGCCTGTTGTCACAGGACTGGATGTAAGCTTCACATCGACTGCCCACTTGCAGTTGTCGAACAACGCGTCGTGATGTAAAGGACGCAAATGACGTAAATGACGGAAATGACGTAGAAATTGCCGTTGTGGTGGCTGGCCACCTCTTGTCCTTTGCAGGGCCATGACGGAGTTGTTCGGATTCTGCTGGAGCATCAAGCTGATCCCAACGCCGGCGACGAGAGGGGCGCCCCTCGGTGGTGGGCGTTGCAGCCTGACCTGTGGAAGTTGCAACCCTGACCACTCCCCTGAATCGTCTGGTCATGCCTGGGCGGGGCAAAGTAGTCCCCGACAAACAGAGGCCCGCTGCGGAAAGATTTGCCAACTCCACATCTCGTCCACCCCCCCCCCGACCCGCCATTTCCAGAGAGTCTTTGTGTGCCCATGCGAGAAAAGGTTAACATCACAATTTTCTCTCACTTCAATTTTTTTTGCAATGAGAAAATCATGCAGATCCCATCGGATTGCCATCTTTTGGCTTTTGATTGAGGTTACCGCCCTGCATTCTGCTGCCATGAGTGGTCACACTGACACGGTGAAGGCCGGCGGGCACTGGCCCTCAGGCCGACAACAGCAAGCCTTGATCCAAAGAGTGTTAAGAACTGCGCTTGTTATGGGCTCCTGCCTCGCTCTGCCAGGTGCTGCTGTTGTATCGGGCCGACCCCACAGTGCGACAGTCGGACGTGCCCTGGCGCGATCAGCTTGAGCCCATGAGCCCACGTCCTTCGTCTTCTTTGGACATACCAGGCCTTCCTTTGCGTGCAGTGGGTCTGCCCTTTTCAACGAATGCTGAGTTATGGCTTTTGCGTGTCCGGGCACGTTGCGAATCTTTGGGGCAAGCCTCTAATAGCCAGAAGTTCCCATTCATTCTTTCGCTAACACAACACCGCGGTATGCCCACACACCCGACACATGTTTAAACATCACGTTTGGGACTGAAGAGCACGGGCTTCAATGGTGTGCCGCGGAGATCGTGCACCGCCACAAGGCCGAGTCATTTGTGGTTTGGATGTTGTGGATATCGGCCTATGAGGGCAGCAATTGCTGGTAACCTATCCACGCTGGGCATGGTCTGACAGCTGATTCGTGCAACAGATGATTGTGATCGGTTCGTGCAGCGAAGCTGTTTGATACATGGCGGGTTGGGCCAACGCTCTCTGGACAGGAGTGCTCTTTGGCTAAGGACAGAAATGCCTTGCACTTGGCCGCTGAATGCGGCTCAGTGGAGGCAGGCTCTTTTACAAGCGCCTCTGGGCAAAGCGGGTTGGCTAGCCTTGCTGCTTCAAAAGAAGTAAGCAAGATCGGCGAATCTCTGGGACCCTTGTGAGAAAGTCAAGGTATCCAGGAGGGAATGAGCCACAGTCAGCCTTGCTCACATCTTCAGCCCCGCTCTTCTTATTCTTCTTTTTTGTAAAGCCATTTCGGCGTGCGACCTGGTGTGGTGCTTTGGCCGCCGCATGGGCGGGAGCTTTGGCGCATGGCCCGCAGGTGGCGCAGGAGATTGTGGAGAGGAGCCCGCAGAAGGGCGCGCTCTTGACCGCCCAATCCAGGAAGGCGGGAGTGGAAAGGGCTGAAGCACTGCTGATTCAGGGCCATCATGTTGACCCAGCATTAAGAAACCCGTGCCGTTAGGGGGTGTTCCCTCCGAAAGTGGTCTGAATCCCCACGAAAAAAAGACACCCCCGATGAATCAGCCAGGGGTTTATTCATCCGGGGTTAACATTGCGGCGTAGTACAATGCGTTGGATTCCGTTGGACTATGGCGCTTTTGCTTCAAGAGATGTTCATGCTGCCTCTAGCGTGCTGTTTGGACCAGGCTTAGGCTTGGGGGGGGGGGTTGTTATGCTCCGGTTTGGGCTCTATTGGTGTTCGCGAATTCTTCAAAGTGGATTGAGCAAATTGTCATGCTTGCGGCTTGGGCGGTCTTGTGAGGGCAGTGCCTTGGACTTGGCCGCCACGACGGAGATGGCGGCCCCTTCGCTTGGAACGGAAGCGTGCGTCGTTTTGGTGTCCCGCCCAAGGGCCAATTCTCCTTGCGCGTCGATGTGGCGCATGTCCCAAACATTGCTGCAGCTTGTACGGACTGATTTCAGGGCTCTTCCGACTAAGGACTTCCTGCAGAGCATTACCGAGACGTAGAACAAACGGGCTGAGATCCCCAAGGGATTTGTGCAGGACGCCCGCGATTATGGCTTGATTGGCTTGGCAGCGAAAGCTGCCGTAAATGCTTTTGAGAGACCACAGGGGACCATTCTGACGCAAGAGGCTTCCCTACAACTCACCATGTGACGTATGTAAAGGCGCCCTGGCCAGGTTTTGAGATAGGACTTCTTTAACTGCAGAGCTTAGACAGGAAGCTTGACGGTCCCCCAGTTCCAAAGTTCCAACATGGAACATCTCAGCCGGCTCTGGTAGTGACAATTTCCGTGGTGGGCGGATGGGCAATAGATTGCCCATCGCTTTGCCGGTGTGGAGCACTGGAGCACAACTGTCTGAAGCTCTCCCTACAGGGGCTGTGCTTCGGAGAGACTTCGAGATTGGCATCATGGTCGGACAAGCCGCCCGACAGCGCCCTCAGATTCGACTGCCGGCCGTTCTCGGCACGGAGGCAAGGCCATGAATCAATGGAAGGAAGCATTGGTAGGCTTGAGCAGGGTCAGTGCAGCTCAGCATGCTTCGCTTGCCAAGTTAGGTTCTGGCTCACACGCCACGAAGCAGAGTGATACAATATCCAGGTTTCAACTTCAACCTCTTACTGAGTGGATGGGACACACACACACACACCTCATGCTTGCCACGCCAAAGGGTCACAGTGCACGGGTGGTATGTTGGCTTTGTTCAGGGGTTGGGTGCCTTTGGGGGCCAGCCGCGACTTGCAGCTCAGCGTGCCATGGCAGACATAGTGTCTGAGGCGCGCCCTTTGATTTGAATGTGGCAACTTGGGGCCACGCTGCGTGGAACAACTGGACCTTGAGTTTCCCTTGATTGGGCACGGGCCCAAAAAATGGTGTTTGGCGGATTCCAGTGCACTTGGACTCATCACAAAAGTTCTGTGAATTGTTTGGTGATTTGGGCCTGTGGTACTCTTTGTTGCCGCGCTGTCCAGGCATCCGGGGTGCCAACGTCAGGGACCGCTTGCACCCTGCGTGGCAAAGAACCGGGCAACCAACTTCGCAACATATTAAGACCTTCGACAGAAGCTCGTGCTGGGAACAGCCTGATGGTGTGACATGATGGCGCTGCTGAATCCACTTTTGAATGTTCACAGCATCAAGTCAGGGAAAGGGCTTAGGTGTTTCTATTTGATGTTTCTCACCTGGATCAGCTGCCTGAACTTGTGACAACACGTGGGTCCGAAGCTGTTCAAGGCCCATGAGGGTGCCTAGCCGCGTCTTGCTGGCAAGCCTCTTCTCCCGCAAGTTCGCCATGGCAGAGCCTGCCGCCCCTGCCCGCTGCCTCAGGGGCGCTGACCCGAGCGACGGCCCCCTGGACTGCCATGGCCATGGCTCGAAGGTCACCGGACGCTGCCACGACGAGTGTGAGGCCAGACATTTGGACGACCTCGAGCGCACACGCTTCGAGGACGGGAGGTGTTCCCGGAAGCGCTGGCTGAAGCGCATTTGGGTTGATTGGTTATGCCGGGAGTCGCCCACTTGCAATTTGGTTCGCAGTTTAATATCATGCGGCAGTGTTTCTTCTCCTCGCTAAGCTGTGTTTTTGGGATGCTGGCATCTGACCAAAGCAGTTCCTTGAGTCTTTGTCATTACAGGTTGTACTGGCGCATCCAAACAAAACTGCCTTTATTATAAAACGCAAAGTTGGAAAGACATGAGAGTGTTATAAGACTTTCCGGAGAACACAAATCACAATTCCTACTTTTACAAGTTATCCAGAAAGTCTTATAAAACTCTCATGTGTTCCAACTCTTTAACAAAACTGCCTTTATACAAAAAAAAGTTCTCGCGAAAGTGGGAATTTTGCAAAACACGCCAGATCTGCCGCACGACGCCAACTCGATTTGGCTGTGGCTCACAAAACCGGGTAACCCCAAAATGGGTTGCCCGACTGGCAAGTGGAAACATGAATTGACCAAAACCTGCAGTTTGCGGCTCCGATCGTTAAATTTTGGGCGTCACACCCCTTGGTCTGACGTGATTCCGGTCTGTGCCAGGAGTCCTATGGCTTTCGCCGCCTGGCAGAAAGAGAGAGCAACGTGGAAAGTTGCTCGGAGCCATGGAGTTCCCTTTGGTTTCCCTCAAAAAGGGTACCCGCCATAAACACACATATATATTATATATGTATGTATATGTGTAATGTATGTATGTATGTATGTATGTATGTATGTATGTATGTAATGTAATGTAATGTAATGTAATGTATGTTATGTTATGTTATGTTATGTTATGTTATGTTATGTTATGTTATGTTATGTAATGTATGTAATGTAATGTAATGTAATGTAATGTAATGTAATGTAATGTAATGTAATGTAATGTAATGTAATGTAATGTAATGTAATGTAATGTAATGTAATGTAATGTATGTAATGTAATGTAATGTAATGTAATGTATGTATGTATGTATGTATGTATGTATGTATGTATGTATGTATGTATGTATGTATGTATGTATGTATGTATGTATGTATGTATGTATGTATGTATGTATGTATGTAATGTATGTATGTATGTATGTATGTATGTATGTATGTATGTATGTATGTATGTATGTATGTATGTATGTATGTATGTATGTATGTATGTATGTATGTGTGTGTGTGTAAAAACCGGAAAAAGTGTGTATATATATATATACATATGTAAGACAGGCGTACACATGATATATACATGTATATTTCCATGGGTCAAAATCCCGTACCCCCATTGAACATCCCAATCCCCACTATAATGGACTAACATGTGTAGTGCACCTACCCCCAAATGGTACCATTGGTTTTGACCCACAGCCACACACACACATATATATATATATATACATGTGTACATATATATGTATATATATAATGCACCTATTTGCTTGCTCGACTGCATGTTGCGGTGCGCTTCGCCTGTCGACAGGATATCCAGGGAAGCCCTCCGTGGTCATCACCGCGAGCCGGGACATGAGCAGCACGGCCCCCCGACGGTTTCTGTCGGCGGGTCGCCCCCGGTTTGACGCTTTGTGTGGGGCACAGGACAACGAGGCCCCCAAGCTAAGTGCCCCTTTTACCTTTTCTTTTTTTGGGGAGGATTCCCCTACTAAAATAGACTACAGAAAAAAAAAGAGGTACCCTTATTCTAACCTCTCTGCTGGAGGACCTGGACACAGCAAACACCAAAGGTTGCACCGTATTTAGGTACCATTCTAGGAGCTTACAATTGAAACTAACCTGGATAGCTCTCACCGAGAAGCAACTGCAATAAGTGTTGACAAGTTGAGTTGCTAAGTCATGGCAGCCGATTGTGTTCGTGAAGTAGCTCCTGCACGAACTAGCTCTGTATTCATCTTAGAAAAATGGACCAGTTGTCTGGCTGACTAGCTGCGTACTTTTACGTCACAGTCTGGAACTTCCGCGCCTCTTCCGCCCGCGGCCCGCTCCACTGGCATAACAAGACATGCACCTTCAAGCCAAGTGTCTAGTTCCAAAAACATGAGCATCTTCAGTAGGTACCTCCCTCCGGAGCACCTAGTAGCCAGTTGCTGATGTCCCTGTCTGCCTGGGTGGAGGGGGGTTCTTTTGAGGCCACCTTTTTGGGGCTGTTTGCAAAAAGAAGCAGACAGAAAGCCGCATGCCGCGTCCCCAATTTGACCCGACTGAAATGAAACGTCGCCAGTCCTGAGGCGAGCACTTGGGCCTTCAACGCGGTGCGCCTGCTGTTCCGCCAGGCCCGCGAAGCCTGCGACTCCTATTGGATGCGGCAGCTGAGTCGGGAGAAGCTGGAGAAGCGCCTGGACGCCTGGAAAAACCAACCAGTCCGCCAGTCCCCGAGCTTTTTGAACATTTATTTATTTAAACGTGCCTTTTTGGGTGCTCCTTCTTTTACCCCGTCAACTGGCAAACAAGTATATGTAAACAGACTTGCCCGCTTTGGTCGCAGATCATTTATGATTTCACGCTTGCCATGTCGATCATGGACTTAATTTGGGTATAGTGTTTGTATCTGTGTAGCCTTTGGGTATCAACAGCCCAAAGAAAACTGTGGTGAACAGTTCTTTGGCCAAGGGACGCAGAAGCGGAAGCCTCCTTTTTGCAAGGGTTGGGTTGATTGGGTGGCTAAACGGTGCTAGTAGATGGTAGTTCTAGACTTGTCCTTGGTTTGGGTAGCCAGTCAGGATAGCCAGTCTCTTAGGTTGCATCAAGTGATGGTTGTTCCCAAGAGGCACGCACCTCTCAAACCACAAACTATAAGAGCTTTCATCAGTTTGCACGACCAGTTGGCATGTTGGTAAAGGCCTTGTGTTTTCCAGTTGGTTGGTACGCATGGCCTGGTGTACGCCTACGCGTGCCTGCCAACAGTCATTGATAGGGGGAGTGCTTTTCTTTGGCCCGAAAACGGCGAGCATCTTCCTTCCAGCCCAGAAAGTAGGCCAGAAAGCCCTCCTGACTTTGGATAAATGAGGGCGTCCACTTCTTGGTTAAGGATCCCTGACTGCAAAGCGCGGAATACTATATTAAATTTATCATATATATATAGTTGTATCCGTCCGCTCCGCTGAGGAAACTGGCGCACATGTGCTAGTCAAAACCCATGAGTGGACCGGGGAGATCACGCCCGCGATGTTCGACCAGGCTGCGGAGCTGTTCACACACGTGGTGGTGAGTGTCAGGGAAGGCTTCGAGAAAGATCCAGCCTGGATGAAGGTGGCGACCCACGCGCCTGGGCTGTGAAGTTGCCGAGCGACTGTTGCAAGTTTCTTGGTCCAGCTTCGGCACGCGACATGTGGCAGACTCAGGTGATCCGCTTCGAAGAGCTGGTATCTTGTGACAAGCAGAACCCAGACGATCCTAGCAAGATTGGGGCCCTCTCTGTCCTTCGTAAACTGTCAGATCATTTGGGCTTAGCTTTGACTGATCAGGAGCCCAGGCGGCAGGCAAGTTTCTGTTTACTCTCCTATAGTTCTGGTTCAGATGTAGGGGTCACCCCTCCAACTGGTGGTGTCCTTCTGCCTTCGTTTTGAAGGTTGACAAAAGTGGCCCCCAATTCGCGACAGGACCTGAGAGTTGTGGACTTCGAGCTGATGACGTTACCCATACCGAGCAGCGGCTGCAATCAGACGACCAAGCACTGGCCCTTCCATAAGCGCCGAGGCGGCCGTCCGGTGCCCCGGGATCCTCGACTGGAGTGAGGCCTGCGCGGGGGGCCTTCGAATCCTTGAGCGGCCCGATTGGCCTTCGATGACCTCTGCCCAGCATTTGGGCAACCCGCACACCCCGCAGGGATAGCATGGATAGCATGGTTAGCACTGGTTTGCAGCTGTTTTTTCTTAGGAGTTTGCGACAGGCTGCAGTCCATCTAGATAGTTGCCAGTGATCAGGCACCAAGTGCAGCTGTTGGCTGGAGGCACCGCACAGTGGCGAACTCCACATCAGCTCATTGCACAAGTTGGTGAGTACAGACTGTACAGTGCGCTTTTTGTGCAAGGAACAGATCCCCCGCCAAGGGATAGACCATGTTGCCACATGCGCAGAACAGCAACTTGGCCAAAGCACGTCTTCATTTGATTTGATCTGCGCCACAGGGACCAAGGCCCTTCCACTGGGCAGTGCTGAACAGAAAACAACTTGAGGCAGGTGGAGTCGCGCTTCGCGCATGGCTTTGCAGTATGACCGCCTCAGGCCCAGGTCTTAGGCATAGCCGCGTAGCCATGCGGCACTTGCAAGGTGAGAAATCGCCCGTCGCCCAAAGGCCTAGTGAACTCAGAGGAGGAATTTGCACGCAGGACGCTTTGCGGCCACAGTGTCCTTGTATTTCTGGAAGGCGGGGCGCATCGCTGACGCGGTGCCATGCTGCTTCTGCTATTGTAATGTACCTTTCACTCATCCGAAGGAACTGGAAAGAGCCTCACCAGGGAAGGCCTAACCAAACCGTTGGCCTAATCAAGCTTTTCCAGCCCAGCCAAAAGGTCAAGTCGGCTTGGGACATCGGATGCTCTCCACGATCCAGTTGAGTCGCTTTTTTGGCACCGCGTAGGCTTTTCGGGCTCGGCTTTGGATGGCTTGCGGCGGCGGAGGCGTGGCGATTTGGAGTCCCGGCGCAGCCATTTGCCCAGAGCTTCCGCCAGGTGCTTCGGCTGTGAGGTCGAGGCTTTGGGTGCCATTCTGTTCTCCTTGGAGGAGGCTGGAGTGGAGTCGATTCGAGAGTCTTCAAACTTGGCCTCGAGCGGCAGTTTCAACCAGTCGTGAAATCCAGAGAGGAAGCAGATGGATTCACCTGTGGCAAGCGAGCTAAGCCACTCCAACGGAAGGGGGCGTTTGCAGGCTTAAGTTGTGGGGGGATGTCACACGTTTAGCCCGTACGCCAGGCACTGTTCTTGCAGCTCCGCCCTAAGCGCGCTGGTGGGTTATTTTTGGGGCCCCCAGGTTCAAATGTGACCCGTTGTTTTTCTCTAAAGGAGATGTGTTCATTTTATTTATGTTTAACGCGACGGCGCTTTGGACCCGAGCTCAACAAATCCTGAATCTGCTTGTGGCCCATCCCCAAGGGTAATCGGGATCCACCGGAGCAATGGGTGGTGCTTATATCCAAACAGGTGAAGCTGCAAACAATTCCCACATGTGTGCAGATGTACATATCTATATCTACTTGTAAAAAACAATAGGAGATGCACGCACATACATTTACATGAAGAGGGGGCGCATGGTTTTCCTGACTTGGCAGTCTTCAGCCAAGCCTCAGGTCAGAGCTGAAGCTGCTGTGTGTGCTGGAGGGTTCTGAGGCCAAGACCGGTGAAGCCGACACGGAAGCCGACACGAAGAAGTTGCGAGCCCATCAAAGCCCTTGTCACACGATCCCACTGCCCCTTGGTTAGTTCATGTCAAGAACAGGTAATGCTTGCGTGTTCGTCTCGCCGAAGCTGGGGGGGGGTCTCATAGTGCACTCATCAAATCATATCAATCAACATGCCAATTCACAACTTCATGCACCAAATGAGAAGCTGGCCGACATATCAATGAGGACACTGCAGGAGGGATGAAACAAGCTCACCAACGAGGGTCATTCAGTTGAGGAGCTGCAGTCTTTGCTCTACAGAAATGAGTGCGTGATAGCTTGCATTTGCAGGTAGATGCCACAATGCGGTTTCAATATCACCCGTGTCCAAAATGCTGTCAGCGGGAAGGTGTGTAAAACAAGCAGGGCTTGGAGGCAACAGGCCCTCGCTCTTTAGCAAGGCGCTTCAGTTCATTTCTGCTCCGGGCTGAGGGGGGGAGGCTCTCACGAACGACCGCTTCTTCCAGAAGTGCTGCAACCTGGTCAAGCCCTCGGACGTTCCATTTGGAGCAGAATGTGTTGCTCCCACACGTCGCAAGCCTGGCGTGCTGCCACCACTTGACATTGCGAGAATTGCATTTCATGACCCTTGCAGTTGCTGTGGCGACCCACAGAGGTGTGCGCTTTTCCGCGCCGCTTTGCAGCCTACCGGCACTACAGACTAGCCGGTTGGGTGGTGCTCCCCTGACAGCGTGAGATGATTGATCAACATGATATCTCAGTGCTTTGTAGGTTATGTTTGCCAGGCGCATCTCCCAAACTGCATTCCGATAGCAACATAAAGTAGTGGCCTTTGTTGAGAGGAATGGCAGAGAGAGAGAGAGAGAGAGAGAGAGAGAGAGAGAGAGAGAGAGAGAGGGAGGGAGGGAGGGAGGGAGGGAGGGAGGGAGGGAGGGAGGGAGGGAGGGAGGGAGGGAGTGGCTGCCAGGGGGCTCTAAGGAATGTTTTTCATGTCACTGGCAGCAAAACCGCAGGATCTTGGGACGGTTGGGGGGTACTTGTGGGAGGTACGGCCGGATGCCTTGAAGTTTGGCGCTGATTTGCTGCTGTACCACGGGCGGCCAGACGAGGCGTGGGCCATGGCTCTTTTTTTTGGGGCTGGGGTGGCCCATAGTGTGGGGGGTGGATTTGTGCATCAACCTGTGTTGGCTAGCTCTGAGATCGCCAGAAAGGGCGGCTCCATTGCTTGGACATCCTGTTGAACCTGATTCAAGTTGATTCGGGTGGGAGAAACACATTGGCTCGGCCACGGGCAACACACCCTTCTTTACAGGTGCACGCGCAATACGCCGTGGTCCTTGCTGACGAATCATTCCAGTGGAAGGACTGAAGCGCAATCGGAACATAAAGAACTCTGGCTTAGCTGTTTCGAAAGTTTGGCAACGGTTGAGCAGGCGCACGAGCAGGTTGCCCAGTGCCGATGCATGCTCCCTGTGAGCATCCAACAAAGTGGTGAGAATAAGAGCTGATTTGGGTTTTCATGCAAGGGGCACGCAGTACACCAAACTGGTTTGTTGGTCGCTGCAGGGATCGGAATGGCAGAGAGGCAGCGCAGCTTTGAATGGTTGTTCCATTTGGGTATGCCTTGTGCGGAGCTTCTGGCCATTTGGCATGATCGTGTTGTTTGTCCACAGGTCTTGCGCAGCCTTGATGGCATGTTTCTCAAGGGCTAGCCCGACATGCATGAGATTCTAAAGGAGCGCTGACAAGCCTGCATTGGTTCAGAGCAGGCTTTCGGCTTCAAATCAACTGATGCATCGTGCACTCCCAAAGCATCTTGACCAAAACTTGAAGGGACGCAATGGAGGGTGGGGTTCAATTCACGCATGCCTTCTTTCCGGGTGCCTCCAAGGAGCGAGGGGGGTCTTCGCTGCCACTTCCTCCCTCAGGCAGGTTTAGGCCACATGTTCAGCTATGTTTGTTTGACATCTAACCCACTCCAGGAGTAAGCCCGCTCCATTTGCTTGAATCGCCTGATTTGCAGAATAGACTCAGCATTTCAGCTTGACCTTTGGATCTTTTCGGCTCGTCGAACTTTCCCAGTAAACCCTTGGGCACCCCCCCCCCCCCCGCAGATCTCGTCAGCCCACCTCCCCCCCTTGCCCGGACCTCCCCCGCATCTCCCCGGATCTGAGCGAAGGACGCGGTGATGGCCAGCCGCCTCGCGCAGTTGGTGGCCAAAGAGCTCATCCTGCCGGACCCCCGAAACACTCCGGGGGTGTCACTGGCCAAGGGAAAAAGTATGGGGTGGTGTTTTTTTGAGTTTTGTGGTTGTCCTCACTTTTAAAAAGGTCTCCTTTTGGAAAAACCGAGGCAAGCAAACGGGCGCCCTCAAAGAAAACACGATTGTTGTAACAGGCAACTATTGCTTAAACAAGCCAACATTGTTCAAACTATATTTTTGGTCTTGCCTTGCACGAAAAGCCTGCAAAGTGTCGGCTGGAGCAAAACGCGAACCAGAGCTACCTCAGCGGGGTGACCCGCATTGCCCGGCTTGTTTAAAGCCTTAATGAGGGGGTCACCCCATGAACTATCAATGCAATCGCCAACGCATGTCACCCTCGGTTGGCTCGGGCCATCTTTGTTCTGGTCTGAGCATGTTTATTTGTTTGACAACAGTTCCTACCCCTCACAGCGGCTAGCAGGGACTGAAATCATGGAATGAGTCTTGAATAAGTCTGGCAGTTTTGCTCACTGTTGCTGGGGATCCCGCCGTCTTTGTGCTGCGTACTTCGTGAGAGAGAATGTGCGCAACTGTCCGGGCAACGATTTCGTGGTTGCTTTCCTATTGCCAATCAACAAAGTGGGCCGGGTCCTTTGTTTTTGACATCGATCCAATGTGCTTTGTTGTTTGCAAACAGTGTCTTCAATGTGTTTTTTGCTTGTTTGCGTGTGTGCTTGCTTCTTCAGTGCTGCGAGTATTCCTATGTGTTTCAAACAGACGCTCTTTGTTTGGAGTTTTGGCCATAGAGAAGTCCGCGGCCTTGTCGCGGTCACGCGGTCCTAATTGATCTCTCTCGGGGTTCGCCAGAACACAGCGCGCGGCAGAAGTTGACAGAACGCTGCTCAACCGACCTTGCAAGGTTTGGAGGTGTGTAAAGGCAAGACCGGTTTGGTTTTCCTGGGGTGGGAAGTGAGCTGAGATTTTTCACGAAATCCCGAGGTCAACATGGTGTAAGGTGATGCGCGAGTCAGACCAAGCTTGAACAGTTGTACAAGCTGACCGGCAAGCCCTGAAATGCATGACAAACAGAAGCCAGACTGGGACTGTTAAAGGCCCGGTGCCCACCTCAGTAGTTGTGCCCCGATGAGGATTGTGGAGAATCCAAGCAAATCGGACTGGCCGATCACCGATCTTGAAGAGGGTGCGGGGGAGGGAGGGGGAGAGAGAGCGAGAGAGAGAATCAGGGGAAGACGAAGAGGAAGAGGAAGAAGAAAATGATAAAGATAAAAGATTCAAGTAAAGAGACAGAGAGAGAGAGAGAAAGCGAGAAAGAAAGAAAGAAAGAAAGAAAGAAAGAAAGAAAGCAAGAAAGAACGAAAGAACAAAAGAGAAAGGTAAAGAGAAAGAGAAACATCAAGCGAAAGAGAGAGAGAGAGAGAGAGAGAGCTAGAGAAAGACAAAGAAAAGGAAGAGCGAGAGAGAGAGAGAGAGAGAAAACGAAAGAGATAGAGAGAGAGAGAGACAAAGAGCAGGATACAGATAAAGAGACAGAGAGCAAGAGAAATGAATAAAGAAAGACAGAAATAACAGTGGGAAAAAGAAAGAAAGAAAGAGAGAGAAAGAGAGATCTTGCTGTTATGGCTGAAATTTTCCAGAGCACTCAGGGCAGCCTGTGAGCCGATGCCGACTCCCAGCGCAACTGGGCAGCAGTTGGGAGCTCGCCAATGCCAACCCAGTGTCACTCGGCCCACATTTGGGTTGTTTGATGGCTCAATTGCATTTCCACGTGTTGAACTGCAAGAGCTCAGCTTCCGTTCCCTTTCAGCTTGCATTTGCAGGTGCTGCCCCAATTGTTCAATTCTACCTTTGTATGGCTTGGAGAAACGCAGGGGTTTGCCTTTGGACCTTTCCTTGGAGCAAATACAAGGACATGCTCACTGTAGACATCCTCATTGGGACATGTGCCATTATCTCGAAGGAGGTTTTTACACATGTCCAGCTGCAATGCCTTGGCACGGCCTTAAAATCAGAGGACCCCAACATGGCCGGCTTCCTTTTGGTTCTCGTTCAAGCCAAGCCAAAGCTTAACTAGGCCCCCCAGTGCCCTTTTACCCTCTTTTGGGGAGGGTTCCCCTACTAAATAGACTGCAGAACAAAAAAGGTCCTTATTCTAACCTCTCTACTGGAGGACCTGGTCACAAACACAGGAGCTTCCTTCGGAGGCGAGTCTGGCGGACTTGGGTTCTGGCTCTGTGCTGGAGCTGGTGGTGAGGTGGGCCAACAGACGCTGAGACTCAGCGAACTGCTTTTTCGGACGTGGCCCAGAGCCCAAATCAGAGTTGGCAACCCGTTCAACACCTTCCGTTCTCGGACAGGATTCCCACCTTTTGGGTGGGGGAGCTGGTTTTTGGATTGGGGATCTTAAGTCCAGTCCAAAAGCTCCAAGACCAGTGAAGCAGCTACTAAGATGGAAGTCGTCACAGAAGGGTCCCAGGGATTCCATACATTTCCTCAAGGAAATGCCATCGCACATTGGGCACGGCAGGGCGGACATGTAAACCACAATCACCGTGGATCCAAGTGCAAGCATTTGTCATTTCCGAGGTGAAACGGGTGTCAAGGTGAACCTTTGAATGGTCACCTTTGAGCAAGCCCTCTCTCTCGACGGTCGTTGCGTCTCTGGCAGGCCGTGGCGACAGCACCTGGAGTGAGAAAAGGAGAGCCTGCCACCAAAAAGGAGGGCTCGGGCATAAAGCCAAGCGAGCCTGCTAGCAAGACTTTAATTTGTTGAGCAACTGGTTTGAGCGGGGGGATTGATTGATTGCAGTGATGCCCTTTTCGATCCGACCCTTGTTTTTGCAATTTGGCACGTGAAGAACTAAACCTGAGAGGGGGTTTGCGCGCTGCTCGTCATTCGCTTTCTTGATCTTGCGTGATTGCTGCCAGGCAGCATCGCACAGAATGAACTATGGCGCGTATCGTTCGGTCAGAGTCAGTCATGAAGCTGATGCGCTCTCAAAGCCCAATTCAAGATTCTGGCAAGCAAATCGGGGAGCTTAGCCCACCCAGACCCTCCATTCCCAGCCAAAAGCTCTGCACCAGTTCCTCAGCTTGGCCTTTCACGCGCATCGGCCAGTGGCTCTGGAGAGAGCCCGGGGAGCCGGCCCGAGTGTAGCAAGGAATCGGAGACAAACGACCTCACCTTCCACCAAGTCGCGCACGTAAAAACACGCGGAGACAAAGAGAAACGCGCACGCGCGCACACACACGCACTCAAGAGTCACTCAAGCGCGATCACAAACTCACCCACACACACACACACACACTCACCCACCTACACAAGCTACACCCGCCTGCACCCACGCCCACCCACCAACACACACACACACACACACACAAACCCGCCACGCACACAACCTTTTGACTAGAAGCCGCCAATTTTATGTAAGGACAAGACCCATGCCACCAGAAACGTGCGCTTGACTTCGCTGATTTGACCATGCCGGCTCTGCCCACAAGAGGGCCATGTCGGACAAGAATCGCCGCTTGGGATCTTTAAGGCAGGCCGTATTGCAGATCGTGTGACTTCTCTTGAGCTGATGTGTCTCACACAAATGCCACTTTCACAAGCGGCAGGATGTAACAAACACCTCACCGGAAAGCATGTTCGCGGTACATGTCCTTGTTGAAGGGTGTCTGGTTGAATGGGGGTACAGCCTTTCAACCTGCTTGAGCCATCTTGAGCCAGTCGATGGCCGAATCAGGCCGAATCCCGCTTTCAAAGTGCGCTACTCATAGTGCTATTTGCATAGTGCCCTGAAGCTTGGCTTCGCGAACTCGCCACTATCATCTTTTTTATTTGCAAGGTGGTTTGTGTTTGGTGCGCTTTGCTTTTTAGGCTTGTCTACTGGCTCACCCGTTGTGCGCAAGTGCACAGAAGAATGGGTTATGCCCTTTGGCGAGCAAGGCGCAAGGTGGCTGCCTCCTGTGAGTGGCGATTTCACGTGCGTGGGAGGCTGAACTTCAGCAACTGCCGGCTGTCTCTGCCAAAGCTCTTGGATGCTTTGGAAGGGTCGGGCCCTAAGAGTGACAGCGCTTCCAAGAGAGCTGACGTGAAGTGACCGTCAACCCTTGACCTCCATTGAACACGCCAAGTGCAGGATAGACTTCTTGCCGATTCTTATTGATCAATACTGAGTGCTCGTCCCCATGGTTTTTGCCTCCCAAACACAGGTTGCCATGCGAGAGGGTGGAGGAGCTGGACGTGTGCCTGACAAGCTTGAAACGCTTGTGCCTGGCGGTAGGGAGCTGAAGAAGCCCTGCCAGCAAGGGCATGGGACGGGTCCCCACATCGAATGTACCCAAGAACCTTCATGCTGCTGATTTGTTTATTGGCGTTTTTCAAGATGGCGGAACTGCTTGTTGGTTTAGCTCACCATTGTTTTTAGTTTCGCCTGGGAATAAAAAGCGAAGCATCCAAGGGAACACCTACCACAAGCATCAATCAGCGGTTCTTTCAACACCGACGCTGTGGCGCACGAGCCAACGCATAGCAATCCCCCAGATGTGATGCATCTCTGCACCTGAGCTCTTGCAAAGATCCACATGGCCAGCGACGTGAATGTTTACGCGGACACACATTCGTTGAGTAGTGAACGCTTAGCTGGACGCATGTGCTGGCAACCAATGGTGCCCCAGACAAACATTTACATGCGGCTCGCGCCGCCGTTGGCACGCCAGCCCATAGGATTTAGAGACACTCGCCAGGCCTCTCAGAATGATCTAGGAGATGAGGCGTTGGAGCCTGAGAGTGGGCATGTCAACCGCTCCCAACCAGCTTGCTTTCTGTCCGTTTGAGCATTGCAGCTGCCTGCCAACCAAAGAATCTAAACTGTTCGAAGGCAATCCTGAATCCTTACCTTGAGTTACGCAAGGGTTCTTTTCCACTAAGGATTATAAAGTAAGATTGGCAGACACTTCATTTTGAGCAGCCCAGAGAATGACAGAAGTTGAATTGCCGTCAGCATGAACACAATAGTCAGAGCTGGCTGACAGCTCAAAAAACCCACATGCATGCTGAAGCTCGGTTACCAGCTTTGGCCCATCCACTCAGACTCACTCAGCGGGACGCCAGGAGTTTGTTTTCCAAGAGGCCCAAGCACGAGCAAGGTCAAACAATGCCTGGTGTGTTGTGTTGCCAGATGTGTTGGGTAGAGGCTTCCAGAGGGACGCACAAGAGTTTGAGGGTGGCACTGAAGCAAGGCACGTGAAGCTAAGGGAGGCTTCAGGAAAGTTGATGGCAGCCAATCATTTGGTTACCGTGGTGTGCTCAAGCGGGGGTTCCTGAAGCCAGCTGTGCTAGAGTCGCGCGCGTTGAGCGTCCCGAAGGCCCGGCAAGATTCTGCGGCTCCTGCCGCTGAGGCCGGGTCCTCTGGGTTTCTGAATTTCTGCTTCCCCACCCAGCCTCAGGGTTTGGCTTCTTCATGGGGCAAGGTGATTTCCGGTTGGCCCAAGCCAAGGCACAGACCAAATGCGCGGATTGAGATGCAACCCCTCTGGCCATTTACATCCATTTACGGCATGCACAGTTGGACGAAAGTAGATGGTGCAATTCCAACCCATTTTGTTTTAGTCATCCCCTTTACTTGCCCACATGAAGGACATATTCCTTGCTCACATTCTGTACCTCGCAAGCAGGCCTTTGGTTCCCGAGTCTCCACCTCCCAGCATGTGCGGATTTGTTTGTGGATTTGGTCATGGCGCTCGCCCATGCAATTTGGATCCAAAGACAGTCTATCAAAGCGTTTTGCTTAATACAACCTTTTAGACTCAAAGTACCAATCTGGGCGTGTTCATTTGCCCATTTGTTTAAAAACTGGCCTGAAGCAAGCCGTGGTGTGGGGCATTTCGACTTGACCCCCTCAGCCACTGACAAGAGCCTTCCACCTCGCACAGCTACCTTCCACCTCGCACAGCTACTAGCCACAGCTAACAGCCGCACCCAAAACACAAGGGCGCTGCGCCTGAACAGTGCTGGTCTCAGCGCGCAAGGCCGGCACCTCGGAAAGGAACATGTGAGACAAGCCCTTCGGGCCATGAACATCGCGACTGGGACATGTGAGGTGTGCCCAGGCTCCAGGTGCCTCTTGCGTTCAGGGCGACATCGCCAAAGCTCTGCTTGGGAGGATGTCCAAGGTGGTTTTCCAGTTTGTTTTTGGTAGGATCCTGCGGCGGCAGGCATCAAGTTGTGCTGCGCGGCCATCAGGCCTGCGGAGTGCCATCGAAGCCATCACCCAGCCGTGGCGCGCCCACTCAGTTGGAAAGCAGACCCTCGAATGCTGAGGCCCGCAGGGCCAGGCTTTGGCTTCTGTAAACTGCTGCACTGACTACTTTTGTGCAATTGCGCAGCTTTGCTTGGAACATCTTGGAACCTTGGCCATATATAGCAGCCAAGTGATGTTTTTCAGTTTTGTTTTGGATGCTAGAAGTGGTCCGGGGCAGGCAAGCATCTCGGGCGAAGCGTGGCTGAGGCTGGAACAAGACAAGTGCAGAGAGGCGGGCCGAAGTACAAAGTCGCAAAGTGCACATTTCCGGCAAGGAGTTCTTGGTCAAGTGCGCAAGCCTTTGCTTGCCTGGGATGCAGGAAGGAACTCACACCCACACATGGTGCTTGGAGGAACTGTTTGAGACTTGATCTGCTCTTAAGGGTGTACCCCTGGGTTGCTGGGAACTGCCACCATTGCCACCGTTTTCTGATGTCTATCAACTATGCATGTATATACGTGCATAATAAAATAAAATCTGTAAATACCTATATATATGTATATGTATACACGTATGTATGTAATGTGTGTGTGTATGTAATGTAACGTAACGTAATGCCGTTTAAAGTAAAGTAAAGTAATGTAATGTATGCAATGTATTTAATGTAATGCAACGTATCGTAACGTAACATAATGTAATGTGATGGAATGTAATGTATGTATGTATGCATGTATGTATGTATGTATGTATGTATGTATGTATGTATGTATGTATGTATGTATGTATGTATGTATGTATGTATGTATGTATGTATGTATGTATGTATGTATGTATGTATGTATGTATGTATGTATGTATGTATGTATGTATGTATGTATGTATGTATGTATGTATGTATGTATGTAATGTATGTATGTATGTATGTATGTATGTATGTATGTATGTATGTATGTATGTATGTATGTATGTATGTATGTATGTATGTATGTATGTATGTATGTATGTATGTATGTATGTATGTATGTATGTATGTATGTATGTATGTATGTATGTATGTATGTATGTATGTATGTATGTATGTATGTATGTATGTATGTATGTATGTATGTATGTATGTATGTATGTATGTATGTATGTATGTATGTATGTATGTATGTATGTATGTATGTATGTATGTATGTATGTATGTAATGTATGTATGTATGTATGTATGTATGTATGTATGTATGTATGTATGTATGTATGTATGTATGTATGTATGTATGTATGTATGTATGTATGTATGTATGTATGTATGTATGTATGTATGTATGTATGTATGTATGTATGTATGTATGTATGTATGTATGTATGTATGTATGTATGTATGTATGTATGTATGTATGTATGTATGTATGTATGTATGTATGTATGTATGTATGTATGTATGTATGTATGTATGTATGTATGTATGTATGTATGTATGTATGTATGTATGTATGTATGTATGTATGTATGTATGTATGTATGTATGTATGTATGTATGTATGTATGTATGTATGTATGTATGTATGTATGTATGTATGTATGTATGTATGTATGTATGTATGTATGTATGTATGTATGTATGTATGTATGTATGTATGTATGTATGTATGTATGTATGTATGTATGTATGTATGTATGTATGTATGTATGTATGTATGTATGTATGTATGTATGTATGTATGTATGTATGTATGTATGTATGTATGTGTATGTATGTATGTATGTATGTATGTATGTATGTATGTATGTATGTATGTATGTATGTATGTATGTATGTATGTATGTATGTATGTATGTATGTATGTATGTATGTATGTATGTATGTATGTATGTATGTATGTATGTATGTATGTAATGTATGTAATGTATGTAATGTATGTATGTATGTATGTATGTATGTATGTATGTATGTATGTAATGTAATGTAATGTAATGTAATGTAATGTAATGTAATGTAATGTAATGTATGTAATGTATGTATGTATGTATGTATGTATGTATGTATGTATGTATGTATGTATGTATGTATGTATGTAATGTATGTATGTATGTATGTATGTATGTATGTATGTAATGTATGTATGTATGTATGTATGTATGTATGTATGTATGTATGTATGTATGTATGTATGTATGTATGTATGTATGTATGTATGTATGTATGTATGTATGTATGTATGTATGTATGTATGTATGTATGTATGTATGTATGTATGTATGTATGTATGTAATGTATGTATGTATGTATGTATGTATGTATGTATGTATGTATGTATGTATGTATGTATGTATGTATGTATGTATGTATGTATGTATGTATGTATGTATGTATGTATGTATGTATGTATGTATGTATGTATGTATGTATGTATGTATGTATGTATGTATGTATGTATGTATGTATGTATGTATGTATGTATGTATGTATGTATGTATGTATGTATGTATGTATGTATGTATGTATGTATGTATGTATGTATGTATGTATGTATGTATGTATGTATGTATGTATGTATGTATGTATGTATGTATGTATGTATGTATGTATGTATGTATGTATGTATGTATGTATGTATGTATGTATGTATGTATGTATGTATGTATGTATGTATGTATGTATGTATGTATGTATGTATGTATGTATGTATGTATGTATGTATGTATGTATGTATGTAATGTAATGTAATGTATGTATGTATGTATGTATGTATGTATGTATGTATGTATGTATGTATGTATGTATGTATGTATGTATGTATGTATGTATGTATGTATGTATGTATGTAATGTATGTATGTATGTATGTATGTATGTATGTATGTATGTATGTATGTATGTATGTATGTATGTATGTATGTATGTATGTATGTATGTATGTATGTATGTATGTATGTATGTATGTATGTATGTATGTATGTATGTATGTATGTATGTATGTATGTATGTATGTATGTATGTATGTATGTATGTATGTATGTATGTATGTATGTATGTAATGTATGTATGTATGTATGTATGTATGTATGTATGTATGTATGTATGTATGTATGTATGTATGTATGTATGTATGTATGTATGTAATGTATTTATGTATGTATGTATGTATGTGTGTATGTGTGTACGTGGGTCTGCATGTATGGTATGTTATGGTATGTTATGTTATGTTATGTTGTGTATGTGTTGTATGGTACGGTATGCTATGTAATGGAATGTAATGTCATGTGTTGTATTGCAATGCAATGTGGTGAATGTATTGTATGTACTGCATGTAATGTATGTCATGTATGTATTGTATGTAATGTATGTAATTGTTTTACTGTTTGAAATGTATGAAATGTATGTAAGTACAGGGATTTGACAAAGTCGTGCCTCCGTTTGAGGCATTGCTCAAATTCCATGGGGGGAAGGGTTTCGAAGAAGTCGTGCCTTTTTCCAAAACACATAGGAACTCTGCATGTTTGAAGCGATAGGCATTTGGGAGGCATTGCAGTTGACAATTGCTATTCTGTTGGGTTTAGGATGGCTTAGGCATGTTCTATCTTATCCGCCAAGGAGCGTTCATAGTGTGTTTCGCAATCTTGAGACATGACGTCAGTTCTGCTGCAGCTGGTTTGAGTCGGCACCTTGCTTTTCCTCTCACCTTGGACTGACCTGGCGTGCCGGGCTGAGCGGGTGCGCTTGAGCGGGGGTTCTTACCATTTGGCTGGCGTGTGTGCAGCGCTGAGCCGGTGTGCTTGAGCGGGGGTCTTACCACTTGGCTGGCGTGCGTGCGGAATTGAGTCGAAAAGTGGGTGCGGAATTGATGGCAGCAGGTGCAGAAGTGAGTGAACTTGTGGGCGCGGGTTCGGCGCATGTGGGCCGTCTTCAACGGACGATCGGCGATCTCGTTTTGATCTCGTTTTGATCTCGTTTTTTACCAAAGTACATTGCGCGTATGCCTGCCTGCCTTCCAGAGAAAAGAGCTCCAGGACGCGAAAAGATGGTGCAAGAGCTGGCAAAGGCCACCCATTGTATCATGTCTTCCTAAACACCCCTGCAACAACCTATCGTATGCTTAGCGTTCCATTGGTTTTCATGTTCCTGCAGACGCCTCGCGGGGCTGGAAAACATGCTTTGCCATCATTAGCGTTCCATTGTGTTTCAGTGTTGACACCTGTGTTCTTTTAGCATGACCAGCTCGGTGATGTCCAGCGTTCCATGGGGATTGTTGCCGAGGCGTGGCTTAGGAGTGACTTCTTGGAATCGGCGTTTACATGGGGGAACACATGGCCACAGAGATAAAGGAGTGGCTTGGGCATGGCTTTGTCGTTTGCCTGTATGTATGTAATGTAATGTAATGTAATGTAATGTAATGTAATGTAATGTAATGTAATGTAATGTAATGTATGTATGTATGTACTGTATGTCTGTATGTATGTATGTATGTAGTGTAATGTAATGTAATGTAATGTAATGTAATGTAATGTAATGTAATGTATGTATGTAATGTATGTATGTATGTATGTATGTATGTATGTATGTATGTATGTATGTAGGTTTGTATGCACGCGCGTATGCAATGTTATGTTTTATTACGTTACATCATGTGATGTATGTAATGTGCATGTATGTATGCATGCATGTATGTATGTATGTTGGTACGTATGAATGTAATGCACGCATGTATGTATGTAATGTAATGTAACGTAATGCAACATATCGTAATGTAATGCAATGTACGTATGTAATTCAATGTAATGTAATGCAATGTTATGTTATGTTACATCATGCGATGGTATGTTATGTTATGCATGTATGCATGTAGGCTATGTTGTGGTATGTTGTGTATGTGTTGTATGGTATGCTATGCTATGCAATGTGCTGTACTGTAATGCAATGCAATGTGATGTATGTAATGTATGTAATGTATGTAATGTATGTAATGTATGTAATGTATGTAATGTATGTAATGTATGTAATGTATGTAACGTATGTAACGTATGTAACGTATGTATGTAATGTAACGTAACGTCGCGTAGCGTAAGGCAACGTAACGTAACGTAATGCAATGCAACGTAATGAATGTAATGTAATGTAACGTAATGTAATGTAATGTAATGTAATGTATGCATATACGTGTGTGTATGCATTTTGATTATACTGTTGTGTATGTAGGTGGCGTAGTTTGGAGGCATCAGGCATGCACCTTCACATGGCACGTTGGCCAGGGCGAGCTCTCCCTTTCCAGCCGGGCCCTGGGAGGAACAGAGCATTTTTGGTGCCATATTCTCACACACTCCCTCAGAGTAACACGGAAGCTCCCAGAAGGCCTTTGTAAATGGAACCAAGTCCTCCAAAGGGGTCCTGGGAGCTTCCATGTTAGTCTGGGGGAGGGTATTCCTTCTTGGCCTCGCCTTTAGCTTGGACAAAACCGGCACGCGTGAAGCCATAGGGCACCATTATGAACCTAGAATTGCGCCCCAGAGGTACCGGTGCAAATGACTGATAGCGCGTCGCCTCTAGGATGGCCTCTGTCCTTTCATCCACTGGCTGAGTGTCAAGTCCCCGGACCTTTTCAAGTGGCTGGTTTCCTTTGGCTTGCCTGCAAAATCATCAAAATCATCCCAAAAGGCCCTCATTTCGACAAATGCCCATATTTCTCCTGACCTGTGGGCATGTCTCCGTCTCAGGCTCCGGGCTGTCACGCGCCCAGGGATGCAAGTTTAGGAGCGGTGAAAGAAGGGAACACGCCTGGGCCGACCTTTAGCAGTCAAGCGCCTAACTATGTGAGTACCGCAGTTGTGTCTTGGGATGGCTTGAGCCCTGACCGGAGGCTGGGTTCGAAGTCTCCTGGGGCTGATGGGCAGGGGCCTCTGTTGAGCGCAGTGCAAATGCCTTCTTGGCAATTGACTTGGTTTCTTTTGCAGTGCCTTTCGTCAGAGGCGGTTGCAGAGCTTTCTCAATTTGGCCTTGGCTGTTTGCTTGTGCGGCAGCCTGACAACATGGAACTGCCCTGCGTCGCTGGAGGTTGTCACTACGGCCATCCCAAAGCCTTCAGGCAAGGATGCACGCGGCAACAGTAGCAAGGAGAAAGCCAGCTGTCATACTGCCAATCGGCGCTTCTCTTCAGCTTTGCATGTTGCAGGTTCTGGAACTGGCGGCCTGCTCCGCAGACGCCGCGGCGCGGCGGGAAGTGCCGAGGGTGGGAGGTGGACGGTTGCTGGGATGCCAAGGGGCACTGTTGCAAGGTAGATGGCAGGTATGCTGACAAAGGAGAACAGGTATGATTGTGATACAGTTGCCTTCCGTGCCAGTCAACTGTTTTCGGCAATTCATGTTTGGGGCACTCATTAACTAACATTCCAGAAAAGAAACGCGCCCAGCTGGCACAAGAAGGTCACAACAACCTTTGTAGCGCTCACTAAGGAGCCGTCAGATTGATAGAATTCCACTTTGCAAATGCAACCTGGTGATCCTGACTAATGCGCCCTGGACCCTTCAGTGCATCGTTCATGGTCCCGGCCTACCGTGCTCGGGAAGGATTTGCCCCAACCAGTGGATTCGATTCGATCGGCGTTTCATGGGTCGCGGTGCGTCCAAGTCCAGGTGCCGGACCTGGCCCTGTACTTGGCACCGCTGGCCTCGCTTGCAACGGGGCGGTAGCAAAGTTCGCCTGTGAAGGCCTCAGAAGCGATCCTGTTTTATTGGGGTTTGTCCGTTTGGAACACGTCACAGCCATGATGTGGGACGGATCAGCAGAATTCGTGCAGTGCCGAGCTGCATGCTATCTTCCTAATTATCATAGCAACAACGTTCTACGGACGGCTTTGTACATGGCTGCGCCTATTCAAAGCGACAAGGGGGGACGCTTGGGCTTGGGTGCCGTCCCAAAAAAAATCGTCCAGAGCACCTGCCAGGCTAGCCAGTGTTGTACCCTCACGGAGCTGGACCTCTCGTGGAACACCCTGGGCAGGGCAACCCAAAGGAACTCAGCCTCAGCCATCCGGACCAGACGAAGGTAAAAAGGGGGGGAACCCATGATGCTCTTTCACGGGATCCCGTTCAGGACAAATCGCAGAGGGTGTGGTCTTTCCCGATCTTAGGGCCGCGCTTCGGCCTTTGACCGGCCTGTGACCATGTGGGAAACCACCACTGGCAGAGCGATTTTTGTGCCTAGGCTGTGGTTGGGTTCCCGTGGCCAATCAGCTGAGGACCGCACGCGGTGCAAGAGCTGAGCCTGCACTTGCGCGGGGCCCTTGGGGCCTCGGCGCAAGGGGCCGGCCGGCCTCGGCGCAAGGAACTCATGAAGCTGGGCTTCCATTTGGTTATATAAGTTGTTGTTTTTTCCCCCTGTTGGTTTTAAAGGGAATCTATCACTACTGGACAAATTATTATTTTGTCCAGGGGACTTAAGCAACTACCTTTTGGCAGATGGATGAGGCGCCTTCAAAGCCGCCCAAACCTGCCAGCCTGCTGGTTGAGAAGCTGAGGTCAGAACACCACGCTGAGAAGTTTGCGGCCTGCGGCCCAGCGAGATGCAACAAAAAAATGGGCGGAGTTTTCTGTTTTCGTTGGCCTTCCCCCGGGCCGATTCCCAGCGTTCGTTTGTTTTTTGTGTGTTTTTGTGCGCTGCCTTCCTCGCCTTGTGAGCTGATTGGGCGGCTGAAAGAAGAAAGCAGAAACATGCACCTGCGATTACGATGGAAAGCAACGACGTATTTTTCAGCCATAACGCCAACCATATGTCCACATTTGCGTGTTGCGGCTAGGCCGTTGTGGACTGCATGTTTCCCAAACATAGGTCGAGCCAATCAAGCTGCATCAACGCCAACCTGGGCATCCACCGCCCAACTCAAAGCGAAGTCAATCAGTTTGGCTTTTTTTTTGCAGATTCAGGTTCACATTGTGAATTTGCAAGCCTGAGGCTCGCACACTGCCACTTGAAACAAGCTGCTGGGGTGCTGCCCTCAACGGCCACTGGCCACATTGGCTCAGTGAGGTTGTTGGTTGATTTAGTTGCCCGTGATCGGCAACCACTGTTAGTCATGGCTCTGTTGTGTTTGTTTAGCTCAGAGGCCTTTGGTGAGTTAAGAGGTTGGTGCTTGGTTCACTCACATGAGATCACATGAGCGACATGAGCATTGACCCGGGAGAGAGGGTTCCCATTTTGCTGCGTGGCAAAAGACGAAATTGCCAAGACGATGAAGCTTAAAATGCGATGACCGTTTACATGGCGCAATGACAAAAGCCCGTATGAGGCAATTTATGCAAAAAACATATAACTGTTTTTTTTGACTTGATCGGTTTTCCTTTTGTTTATGAGGCGGCACGCTTGGAAAGGAATCCCTATAGGAGAGCTAGCCAAGTGCGAGCCATGCGCGAGCCATGCGCGAGCCGGGCGCTAGCCGTTTGTTTGGTTTTGAGCCGTCCTTCTAACCGCAACTGTAACTGGTTTTGCGCTTTTGCTGCGGAATCGAGGTTGCTCCACCGGCTTTCGGCCTTCTGAAGCCGCGCAATTGTAAACGTTGATTTTTCAGGTGACCAGCTTTCATCCAGGTGTACCAGAAACAAGTAGCCAGACCAGAGAATGGTATCAATCAAAATCTTCCTATTGATGCTCACACATCCTATGAATTGACCGGGGAGGTTGGTGCTTGGCACATACCTTCATTTGGTTAAGGCCTCAAGCTGGTTAGTCTATTCTTTCACTGCGCAGCCTACTGCTTTCTGATAGCCTGCTTCAAATGTGCTTCTTCAAGGAACAAGCGCCCGTTGTTCGCTAACGAGGCATACAAGTGTCCCAGCTTGCGCGTGCACTTCCTGTCATCCGGAGCCCAGGTTTTGCTAGCTTGCCTGAGCACCAGCAGTTTGCCGCTGGAGAGGCAGTGGAAGATGCGGCATGTTCGGCATGGCCCAGTTCTGCCAGAGTAAGATGCGGCCAAATCGGCCAAAGCCATTTGGGCGCGTGTTTCTTTCACACTATCTTGAAGCGCGCCTGTCTCGAAGCTTTTTTGAATTCCATGTTGGCCTTGTCAGCTTATCGGGAGGGAAGGGTTCATTTGGTTCCTGTTTCGGTTGGCGAAGGGTACCCTTTTTTTCAAGGGAAGCCAAAAGCAAACCACCCCTTGCGGACTCCAAATTCAATTTTGAGACACATCCAAACCGAGTTCCCCCTGTTTTTGGGACCGCATTCTCGTCCGCAGGTTGGGCCTGGCGAGGAATGGTATGCCTTACTCCGCTTTTGAGGAGACATCCCGGCCTGTGTGGAAACCCACAAGCTCGGAACCTGCCCCATGCATCCTCAGAACTCGGAACCGCCCCACGCATCCCTGAAACCCCCCCGTATCACACCAGTCCCATGCATCTGCACTCCGAACCGCCATTCATCCCCGCAAGCCCTTGGAACCATGCACCCCTGGAATCCTCCTTGGCATGAATCCATTGATGGACCCGGTCCCACGTTTCAACACCTTCCAGTTTTGTTGATCGCAGAAGGTTCCAGATTTGGGCTGCCAGGTTGGCATGCTTCCTGGGAAGTGCAGTTGGCGCGCGCCTCAGAATCCCCTGCGCCTCAGAATCCCGTACGCATTAAGTTTCCTAAGTACTCCTCTCCCCCTAGACATACACCGTGCCTCCCCCCCCCCCACCGGGTTTTGGGCCAGAACTGTTTCAGCCTGCGTTGTTTAGTACTGGCATCAAATGGGAAGGGGGGGGGCTGGGGCACCCCTTTGATTTGCAGAAAAGGTGTTCAAAATGCTGTTTCCAAGTAAGAAGTTTTAAAGGGGCACCCTTGGTTTTGTTGTTTCAAGGAGAGATCTTCTGAAGGGAACCTCTTGGAGAGCCAGTAGTAGAAACCTTGCCACGCAAGGCAAGCCTTTGGTTCGAGAGAAAAAGGCGCTCAGAATGCAGCAGAATGCAACTTTGAGTAAGACCAGGTGACCCCTGATAAGCACATTTGCAGGGAGATTACTATTGGTTTAGCATTGGGGAACACACAAATATTGGCAATTTTGGGGGTCGGCTGGTTTGTTTCATTCGGGGCAGGTTTCTGAGTGGGAGAAGTGATTGATGCATGGAAGAGGGGGTATGCCGCAATGAAGTGCTCTCCCCCAGGAGAATCATGTATGGGGGTGCCCCGGCACGTTTTCCCTTTTGGGGGGCCGGTTGGCTAAATTGTGGGTGTTTGACAACGTGGACCGTCCCTCCGCTGCAAAATGCCATTGGGCGAGGAAATAAGTTGACCGGGTCACCCCCTGGAGCTCCGTCTTTTCTTGGGTCTCACCGATGAGCCAGCATAGGTGTCCTTCTTAGGAAAGCCTGGTTAACAATAGATGGCACTGGTTTAGATGGGTTTGGTTCCATTTACCAGGGCCATCTATTTTTTCCACAAGGCCACCTATGTGAGCAAGCAGCCGGAACTCGAAAACAAAGGGCCGACCTCCAACTGCCGAGGGCAGCAACTCATCGACTTGGACCTCTCCGGCAACAAGGCTGTGGCAGAGGAGCCGGGCACCCAGAAAAAGAATCGCTTCTGGGGTTGCCGGGTTCCAGGCAAAGCTTTGGGGCCTGTTTGGGCCCATTTTTCAAAGTGCTGTCCGAAAAGCAGTTGTTGGGACGCGGGTGCTGGACAAATCTGGCGGCTAAGTGAGGCAACAGTAGTGTAGTTTGTGACCTTTGAAAGAACTGGGACTCTTTTGGGCTCTGGCAAACAACAGGGACTAAACTTGCGAATCCACCAGCCCCGATGCTTGGCTGACTCGGCCTTGCAACTAGTGCAATGCAGGTATGATCTTTTGGATGGCTTTGAGGCGAAACAAAAGGAAACATGCCGTTTTAAGAGGTTCCCTATTTGAGAAACACTCATTTGAGCGCCCTCCAGGGTTTCCATTACCAACCGCCCAGGGGCTCAACAGTCCGAGTGATGCGTCAACCTCTTTAGCCGGGGAGTTCAGGCATCCAAAACCTCAGAATCCGGGTCCATCGGTCTTATGCCTTGGCAAGGCTCTCACCTATGCCGTTCCAAGGTGTCATGTTGGTTCCCCTACCCAGTCCCCTTGTGCCCGGGTCCTCCTTGTTGATGCTGTGACCAGGCCCTGCAGTCGAGTTCTGGGAAGGGCGCTGTGCAGGGTGCAGGCGCGCGAAGCAGATAGCCTCGCCTGAACAAAGCTTGCAAGGCGGCTTTTGTTTTTGCCAGCCAACTCAAGTCAATGGGAGGTCGGCAGATAAACTTCTGGCTCCCATGAACGGCAGTCCATGAGCGCAGCGTGCCTTGACCGAACTCTGAACTGCACGCCCATAGGTGGCCCACGTAGGTAGGCGCACCATTTTGCAGGATGTGGAGAGCAGCTACGCTTCGTTCCGAGGCTCCGAAGCAGTTCTGGCGGGTACGGGAGCATGTGATGTTCGTGCCCAACATGTCCTTGAAAGGGGATGCTGGCACTGTGGCACATGCCTCGGCCAAAGGCCAAAGGCTGGAGGGGTCATTGTTCCATGGCTCGCGGTGAGTCGCGTTTGGCGATGCCGTTGCAGTTGATTTTCAGCCGCTGCATCACTGACAGCTTTGACCAAGCCCGGCCCGACATGGATCAATCACATCAAATCCATATGGAGCCATGGATCAATCATATAGATCCATCAAATCCATGGATTCATATCAATCATATCAATCATATCAATCAGATCAATCATCTTTGCAGATTTGCAGCCTTCAAAGGTCAGCCGCGAGACGCTTCATCCGCCTTCCGCCTTTCGAATGGCACCATTGGGGACCATGGAGCTGCTTGGCACAGCGCAGAGGGTCTCACTGCCCGCGTGCGGATTGGCCTTTTTTTTCTCACCTGAAGCAGTTTACAAATTAGGAGTTTCTCTTGGCAGGCACTAGTGTTGGTTGTGGGAATTCTTTTGACGTTTCAGCTTGAAAGTGTGCACTCACCGCTCATGTGCGGGGCCAGGGTCTCCAAGCATGAAGATGGGAGGCTATTGAGCGAGTTAGCATTGTAGTGGGAACGCAGTCCAACTGGGATCAGCAGTCAAATTCAAGAGCAGCTGAGGAACGTCGAGCACATCCAATTGCCAATTAATCAGCGGTTTTTTTTTTTGGGGGGGGGAATGCTTTGCTGCCTTGCTTGAATCTGGGACTGTTGTGACCTGGCGTTATGCAGAACATGGTGGAGACAGCTACGTACTGCGCCTTTACATTTTGAACGACTCAGATCTGACTTGCAAAAAGTGTCTCTCAAGCGGCGTTGTGCTCGTGCTCAGCTTGCGGGTGCAAGGCGCAGCTGTCCCATTCGAGGACACAGCCGCCCCCAAAGCGTGAGTTTGCGCGAAAGCGCGCTGGCGCACCCAGGCGGAGCACGAAGGGCATGGCTCGCCCATTGGATGTTCAACTTCACACGGCGAAGGCCAGGGCATAAGAAAGCTGATCACTGCCGGGGTGGGAGCACTCAAACTGTTGCTTCGAGTCAGGGTTGCAGTGAGACCACCTGTGCGATGCAAGGACGCACACCAAGGAAGAATGAGTTGCCGCACTTTAGAGGATGGCATGCGGGAGCATGTGGGATTCGGGGGTTTCCCCTTTGAGTTGGCACCTTGCCTTTGGCTGTTGTAGAAAGATTCAAACCCGCAGAACTCCAGGGCCAACTTCCGGGTTCTCCAATTTGGACTCCCAAGTGGCTCTGCATCCACAGTTGGCCGAGCCCCTCAAATGATTGTTTGCTTGTGGGCACATTGGGTTTGGAGCTGGTGATGCCAACGGAATCACGTCATTTCCGCACAAAACTCACGTCGTTTCCAGGTGCCCAGGTCGGCAGCCGCGTATCACAGGGATTGCCTCCCCCCATGTAACCCACCGAAAGTCCCCTGCAGCCTTGCATGCTCACGTGCGAGGCTCTCCTTTCCAAACACCCCCCCCCCCCCAAAAAAAAAAAAAAACTAAAACAAAAAAAACTACAACAACAAGAAAACAACATTTCCAAACAACCCCCCCTCCCCCGCCCCCCCCGAAAAGAAGAGAACCCAGGTGGAGACAAGCAGATGTTCTGCCCGGCCAGGACAATCGTCCCTGGCTCTGCCTGAAGCCGCTCCGCTGCCAGGAGCTGTCAAATTGAGAGGCACCGGATGACTTTTAGAGGGGAAACCACAAGGAATCAACCAGATTCACGGGAAACCCTCTACAGATGGTAAGGGCAAAGGCACCTTTCAAAAGGGTTCACCTCGACCAGAGTCTCATGCCTTTGTGTGGCAGGTGTCAACCCTGCAACCGATTGAATGGGACAACACACAGGCGCGAGGCGTGCTTCGTCAGGAGATGGAGCTCGCATTTCCCATGGGTGGTGCCATCATCCATGTGCGAGACTTGGCAATGTCGCGAATCGTGTTTGACGTCGGGTTGAGCGCTTCAAATGTTCAGTTGCATGAAATTTCAGTTGCAGCTGCACGAGAGTTATGCCTGTGCGCACTCACATCTCTTGAACCTGTCTTCCGTGCACCGCCAAAGATCTCGTTTCTCCCTTTTCGCTGACGAGTGGGACCCGCTCGGACTGCAGGCAGAGGTCGACCTCGAGGCGCCGCGGGTGCAACGACCTCCATGTCGCCTTGTTCAACCTTTTCTTGTTTGTAAGGTTCTCAAATCCACCCTGAGCCGTCCAACTGATTCCCAAATGCACCCCGAACCCTCCGAGTAACAGACACAGCCCGGGCTCCCTCTACGTCGAGGGGTACCGATCTCACGTCGAGAGGAGGCCCAGTCGCGGTACATGCCATACCTCGCCCGCTTGAAGCAGCTGATGCTCAGCTCCAGCCGCCACCGCCTTGGGACTTCGGATGACTTCGGGACATCGGGACTTCGGAGGGTTGCGGCTTGTCGTCGCCCAACTTGGAGAGAAGGGCGCGCCCCTTTTTCTTGGGTTTGGTTGGTAAGCACCGGAGAGCAACCCAAGCATGCGCTAGGTCTTTTGGATTCAATTGCTTTCATCTATGCCGGTTTGCGCTTGCATGCTAGCAGCCGCCGCTCCGCTGGTCTTGCCAGCCTTGGCCCAAAGTTCGGCGGGTGTTTTCCACAATTGAAGCAGCGTGGCAAGGGTGGATGGCGGAACTTGCCATCCATGCAGACGACATCATCATGGCAGGCTTTGTTTGGAAGCGGTCGAAGCTATCCAGAAGCAGGCCTTTTTTGCGCTGCACGTTGCCTTTGTGTTTCCGTTTGTTCCTTTTCCAAGCTGCCAAACACATGGGGCGTACAAACAATAGCATACGATGAGCCAGTCATGCACCCGCCTGGATTTGGCGCCTCAAGTGCAGGCCAAAAGGTGCATCCTTGGGGTCCGCTTTGGGCTGAAACCAAGGAAGTATCTGAAGTCCTGGCGGAGAAGGTGGCTGGTGCTGACCAGTCAGCACCTCTGCAGCTTCCGGAAGCGCGACGACGCGAAGCCCACAGAAGTCATGGCCCTGGCAGCATCGTGGCAGGAAAGGCAAGGGATGGCTGAAACCCGATGTTTGACTCAAACATACTCCCTCTGCCATTCAGGCAGTTAGTTGTTCTCCCTTGCATGCTTCGTAAAGCACAAAGCTGTCCGTAAAAATCGGACCATAAACTCGGCGGCCGACCCAATTCTTCCGCTTGGTGCGCTGTGCCAGTTTGAGTCACGACTTGCGCTCAGACAGTGCAGGTTGGCCTTTGATGGCCGTTGGACATCTTAGGACTGCTATGCGGTGAGAAGCGCCTTCAAGATTACTGGATTGGACAACTCCTTTAGCATTCATTCGCCCAAGCAGTCCTTTCTGCTGATCCCAGAGGGTGAGGACAAAGGACGGTGGATTGCACAAGTTGGCACGCACATGGTGTCCAGCGTGCTGCTCTTTGATGACATGTTCTAAAGTAGCTGCCCTCAACGCGTGCGCTTGGCACACTTTGGTCACTTTGTCATGTTGCTGCTCATCTCTACGCTCGGCTTGAAGGGCAGGGTGAGCTTTATAGCCAAGTGAGAGAGAATCATTCTCTCATTTGCGTATTGCCATGTACAGGCACCTAGTCACTAAGTTGACTTGCGATGCAAATAGCTATCCTGACTTGCGAGGCAAATAGCTATCCTCATTTGAATTCAAGGCTCGCAGCAGCCCGGAACAGACAGGAACAGCGCCATTCGCCCGGCAACTGTGCGTGCCTTGCGCAAAAAGAGATCGTGATTGGAAGCCAAAGAACGCTTGGCAGCATGAATGCGGTTGCTGAACCTGAAAGAGGGAACAGATGCTTGGCCACCTGGAAAGCCGCATAGCCATGTGGTTTTTTCTGTTCTTTTCTGTTTTTGTTTTTCTCGGACAGAACCCGTATTTGGATCGTTTTTTTCCCGTATGATCAATTTTTGTTTCCGGCCGGTGGCCGTATTTGGCCGTATGCAACCCGTATTTGTTCAACAAATTGTTTGACACAAAACCGTAAATAACCGTATGGCAAGTTTTTGCGGCCCAAGCCGTATGGATGGACAAACACGTCACATATGGGTTTCCAGGCTCAGCTTTAGCTTGTGGGAGGCTGCGGGCGAGGCATTTGTCTTTCTTTGGTATCATGTTTACGTTTGATGACAACTCGTTCAAACAAACCTGACTTTGAGAATTGTGTCTGAAACGCAACACGTGGCATTTGTTGGAAGAGAACGTGGTTGGGCACACCTTCCTCAACGAGGTGCATCAAAGAGGGCCAGCTGGGCTGAGGCTACGTTGCCTATTCCAGCGATGTGGGCGAGTCGTTGCGACCTGTGCTGAAGCCGCTTACCCAGATGGTGCGTCAATCGGGCTTGCTGCTTGCGTGTCGTGCCTGGCGTGATTGCTTCGGCAGGTGATTCGCTAAAAGTTTGCAAGAGCCATAGTGAAAACTCATCTTTTGCCTGGGCTTGTAAGGATGGTCATCCCAACTAGAGTGTTTAGATGACCTGTGTCAGGGTTCGTGCAGGCGCATGCCCAAACGCAGCTGCTTCTGGGCATGGAAGTGGGTGCCCTTCATGTCCACATCGAACAATTGCCACTGAATTGAACTTTGGGAAGTGACGGAAGAGAATGACCAGAAGTAAGCCTCATTGTCAGGGATCTTTCGACAGATTTGTCACACATCGCCCCAAAAAAACCAGGTTTTCCGCACCGAAAGACCAGACCAACAGGTTTGTCAGTCTCCGGGGGTTGGTGTCAAATCTTTTAAAAGTGCGGAAAATGACAAACGAAAAACCGCCCCGAGGCCTTGGCAGGTGAACCTCAGCTATGGAGTCGCCGGCGCGTATGTGATCGGCGTCTTGGCCTTCAAAAGAATTCCTTCGGTCTCTTCCCGAAGGCAGACAGAGAGCAGAAAGACGAGAGCAGCTGCCCAGCGCTTGCATTCAAAACCCAGCTTTTTATATAGGATGTTCCTTTTCTTTTAGGGGCCGGGCATGAGCTCAAAAAGTCGGCCTGGCATTGAACAAGTACTTAGAGCAAGCCTGACACGAGAAGTGGGTGTTCGGCATTTTGTGCGGGCCTCTTTGAAGCCCCAGTTTGCCTCAATAAACAAGTCGATCACATCCCGCTTTGCACGTGTCTTTGGCACGCGGGATTCCAGGCGCGGTTTTGATTGAGACTCTGAATTTCCAGTTCCAGGTTGCCCCTCAAGCTCCAGCCAAGATTCAATGACCTGGCAGGGCGACTTTCTGCTTTCCTTGGGCCTTCTTCTTTTTGTTGGCACCCTTCAGCTCAATCATCATCTTGATTGTTGGCCACTTGCAAGTTTATGCCCTTTTGGTGGGGTGATGTATGTTGCAAACCAAACGTCCAAATATGTCCAACTGTACCCTTGGATGCTCTTTGCTATCTATTTATCATCCTTGCAGTCAGCCAAAATCATGTCAGGTCAGACGGCGCCTTTGCTGCACTAAGCCAGTATAGAACTCCAAGTCCAGTCAGATCCGTCACTAGACATGCAGTTCCCGGGTGCTTGACTCAGATTGGCTGACATCCGGTGTAAGGCCATGGGCTTCAAGAAAACGATTTCCCAATTCTAGAGTGTTTTCGGCTTCCAGGAATGAAACTTCAGTCCCATGATCACCTAGCGCGACTTGCTTTATCAGGCGGTGGCTGGCTATCGGAGACTGGACGCTTGGCGGCATCATGCCCTGTCTTCTTCCAGACATGCATCATGTGCCACAGTCCGCCTGATGCATTTGGACTGCCGTGGGTGTGGACGTGTTATGAGGCTAGTTGGCTTTTTGGCCATCGGTTCAGGTAGGCAAAGGTGTTGGCCGATCGCTCAGAGCCAGCAAGCCAAGGAAGACACCGGAAGCACCAAGGCGCCCGCAAAGCTGGCCACACGCGCATGTCGCCTGTTGTTGGGGGGTTGCGACGCAGTGAAGAAAAGAATGCGCTTCAAGGCAAACCTGAGCCCAGACTTGATGACCTGCATTTGTTTTTTGAGCCAGGGTACCCGTGGGGGTTGGTTTAAACGGAAGCTTGAACGAAAACGAGCTTTTTTTGCGGGTCCCATTCTGACACACACCCCTTGACCTATGACTCGCGATGTTTTCCTTCCGCCCAAGCCTTCATGCCTCAAGCCTCGGGAGCAGTTCGGTCAGGAGGCAGCAGCAGCCTGCGCTCACACGGCGGCCTTCCAGTGCTTGGCTTCCCTCGCACTCCCTGCTGCTGCTCGGGCACCGGGGTGGGCGGTGGGCCGAGGGTGGGGTTAGCTCAGTTTTTCTCAATTTGGGGCCTTAAACTGGGGGCACTCAGTAGGTTCATTGAAGGTGAGGGCGGTGAACGGGAGACGGCAGACCTTCACTGACCGCGAATGAGAGCCGCTTTGTGGCGGCCCGAGGTAATTATCCACACAACCGTGCATCAGGCGAGGCATTGGGATTTTGAACTGCAACGTGTGGGATGCTGGTGCCATACTTACATTTCCTTAGAGGCATGTCCTGCTGCCCAGTGGTGTTGATACTCTTGGTACATTTCCGGTTTGAGCACCTGTTTCTTCCCCTCATGAGACTCCTGCTCTCGCATCCCAGAAATCCTGAGCATCCTTGGCTGGAGCTGCTTCTGTAGCAGGTTCATTCGCAAGTGCCTTAAAGATGATCGGCGAGGATCCCACGCTGAGCCCTGAACCTCTTTGCTTGCACTTCGCCTGCCAGTTGCAGCACGTTCTGGACCGGAAGCGCTTCGTGCACCCCCAGCTTGTGCGGTGCCTCGAGTCGCACTGAATGCACATTGGCCACCTGGAAAGCCGGCTTTTTCTTCTTCTTTTTCCGGACGGAACCCGGATTTAGATCGTTTTGCCGTATGCAACCCGTATGTGTTCTACAAATTCATGACAAGAAGCCGTAATGACCGCATGGCCATTTTGTTGTGGCCCAAGCTGTATGGACAGAAACAAATGGATTTCCAGGCAGTCAAAGTCCATGATAGTCTTTGTGGCATTCCTTGTTCGAGGACCGATGCATGCCGCAAAAAGGATGAACAATCACCTGGGCTTGTGAGTGCCTTGGGCCAGTGATGGGGGGTGATTGTCAATGCCAGCAATGGTCGCCCTCCCGTCACTGACGAAAATGAGGGTAGGTCGGCCAAATTGGTGCAAGCTAATCATGCCTTCCTTTTCGGTGGCTTTGCCCAGGGTTCGCTGAGGTTCGGGCCGAGCGCCGCAGGCCTGGCTACGCTGCCGTTCCTGCCGCTGCTGGACCCGCCGTGCGAGCCCCCGCCAGCGCTTGGAGCGGTGCCGTAATCGTCCGGTCGCGCTCGGACCTCGGCTGGTGGCTGAGGAAGCCCAAAGGGCAAAGGGGCGAGAAGTGGGTCGGAGCTGGGGCGTTCCAACTCTTGGGCCTAATTTGTTGCCTCACTTTTGGCCGAGTGTGATGCTAACCGCAGCATCGCTGTCCAGGCGGTACACTCAGTGAGTTGTGCAAGGAACTTGGCGGAGATAATTTCCGGCGCTCGTTTTTGTGGCTCACATGCCGTCGCAACTGATTGCGTTGGGCTGAGGAACATGCAGTGGACTTCCTGTTCGAGAGGTTTTGGCCTGACTGGAAGGGCCGTTGAGTGGTAACAGTCAAGAGGTGTGGTGCCTTTTTCCTTTTTTAAAGGGGGCTCCCTTTAAAGTCAATTACCCCAACAAGAGTGCCTTTTTTCCCTGTGGCCACAGGGGCGCACACTGCTGCTCGAGTCACTCAGAGAACCTTGTGGCTGTCAATACTGATTCGTTTGGATTTCGCCCGCAGGCACCAAGGTACTTTCTGTGCTTGGATCCCTGTGCTCCAACAGCAGGGCGGTGATTTGGTCTGTTTAGATTTGCGAGGCGCGCCACATCAAAGAAGCACGCAGGGATGTTTTGCTTCTGTTTGCGGAGCACAGGATTGGCAAGCAAGTTTCTGGTTGCGCGGCTGATTTGAGAACATGTCGGTTTGATCAATTCGTGTATAGGTTTCGGAACCTTTCGGGTTTCGCAGCGCCGCCTTGTGGCTTCCTCATGCGGCTGAGTCTGCAGGGAGCCGCTGGCACCTTGCCCTTGCCAGCTAGCAGCTGAGCAGTTCAGCGCGTTTTGGATGCATGATCCAGGCCAAACCAAAGTCTTCCGCCGATCTCATCACCCCCATGGAGAAAAACCTGTCCATGGGTGTGGTTGATTCCCCATTCCTTTCAACCATCGTTCTTTGCTAAAAACGGAACAGTTTCCCCTTGGTTTTTGATGGATTCCCCAAAAGATTCGCATCCCTGGGTTTAGAATGGAAGGGAAAGCTACCTGTAGAATCGGGGTCCCTTCAAATGCGCCTCGATGCTTCGCCCATTTGCCAAGTGTTTGGCCTGGACATGCGAGGCACAGGTCACCTTGGACGCTCCCATGCAGGTCCAGCTGTCCTGGGCTCGCGCACTGGAATGCGAGCCTGAAAAAGCAACGCACACATCCCCATGGCTTTCTGGATTTGAGGCCTCTTCAAATGGATGTGGCTCAAAATCAAAGAGCAGTTGTTGGTCTTTGCTTCCATTTGCCAAGGGGCCATTTTGGGTACCATTTTTGAGCCACAGCCAAATATGATCCCCACCCCCTTAGGTCCGAAAACGGGTGGGTGGGGGACGTCTTAAAATATAATGCACATTTTCCCGCTCCAAGCAAAGACACATGTAATGGGACCCCATTCCAGGTGTATATTTCCGCTTACTTTGGGTGGTAGGATGGGGGGGGGGGAGAAAATGTAGCTTGACACCTGGGTGTAGAAGTTGTATACCTTGTCTGAGGGTTCCCGCAAAGAAAGGGTTTGACATGTTCACGAATTTGCCTGGGACGCTTGGCAAGGGTTGGAGGCGGCAGGGAGGTCGGGGGGGGCGGGGTGGCACAAACATCCCCTCCCCCCTTTGTTAAATGTAAGCTGATGATGCTGGGGCGGATGTGGTGCAGAGAGGCTTTTGAAGGCATCGGGCTGGGCTAGGGCTGGCCACATGTGGCGTGTCCAATTTCCCCAAGTTAAGGGAGGGATGAATGCATATGAATGTTGAACACATGTGGCAACCATCTTTGCACGGATCCAATTGGACGTCTCGGGCCTTCCCCTGTTAGCTACGTTAATCTCAGGCAAAATAGCCCATCACGGGTCAATGGCAGCTGGTGACATCCTCCTAGTGTTTGAGCAAGGAGTTACAAGAGCAGTTCCTGCTTGCTTTGGTCATGCGTTGAGAACGGGGCGTGGCCAGTTGTGACCTCTTTCCAGGCGCTGAGCTGAAGCTGAGCCTTGCAGGCAGGGTCTTTGCCTCGGCTTTGGTATGGGACTGGCGTTTCCTTTTGCTACCTGAGACCCGGGGGCGCAGAAAGATTTCTCGAGATGACAGGAACAAAGCCTTTCTTTGACGCGGCCTACGGCCGCTGGGTCAGTGCCCAAGCTGCTCGTAGTTCTCGATTGTGTTGCTTGGGCTGGTCATCAACTCATCAACTCAACCGTTGGACCCCTGGAGCGCTGGCATTCAGATAGCAAGAGAGGGTGCGATCTCGGCGTTTGGCCACTGGTTTCACGCCTTGAAGTCGGAATGCCAGAGGCAGTGTATGCGTGAGGATGCTGGGCCGCAGCTGCTGACCATCCTGCGCTCCCCAGGCTTGGAAGCGGCAAAGACGGTTTGTTTTTTCTGCAAAAGCCAAAGGGCTGCAAATGTGGCGTCGACGGCTGGGAGGTTCAGGTTTTGCAAGAGATGAGTATCAAAACAGTTGAAAGCCACCGGAATTTGTGTTGCCCTTGCAGACTTTGTCAGATAAGCTGAGGCTGTGAAATATGCTAGTCTTGCCAGGACGCGTTCTGGATGTGAACCTCGATCACTGCACTTTCGCCGAGGCCGCCATCCCCAGCCTGGCGAGGCACGTGCCAAACGTTCTCAAGGGCTTTGTGTGGCACTGCCAAAGGACGGCTTCACACCAAACGGGACGCCGCCTCTTGTGACACTTGAGAACATGTTTGGCGCTGTTTGGGGATGTTTTGCAGCCCAGACATCCGAAGCTTCACCTATCCAACTGCTTTCGCAAGGTGTGTCACGCTTCCATTGATTCACCAGCACCCCCGCCCATCCACTCGGCGGGGTTTGTGGGCTATGCGGCCAGGATCTGCCTCAACGTGCGCAACTTCTCCCTGTGCCAGTGCAGCGGCGGCGAAGGCGGACTCGGCCCATTGGCTTCCGATCCGAGAGCGCGCCTGCGACAGTTGCAACGCACTCGCCAGATGGGACAGGCACTTTGGGGCAAAGCTTTGCGGTGCACCTGGAGGAGCGCTCAAGTCAGGCAAAAAGTGGTCTGACATGGTCTGACGTTTGAACGCCAGCAGCTTTCGCGGGTTCTTGGTGCAACCGAAATTTTGTGCTTGCTGGGACAAAACCCTCAAAATATGCCAGGTTGTACTCGTTTCCCGTGGTTCTGGCCTCGTGCCTTGGGACAAAACTCCGCTCCTTGCAGCGTTCTCAACAAAGTCAACCCATCAAAGGGGCAAGAAGATTTCAAGAGGATTCCAGTGGATTCCAAGCATGGCAAAAAGGGAAGGTTTGCACAGGCGTGAGTGCAGTGCGGCATTACTGTTTTATTACTCCTTCAGTTCGTTCAACTGTTAGATACTGGTTATTCTAATCAATGTTCTAGTCTACTTTTTGTTCTAAACCGAATTCACGCGCAAGCAAAAAGAACGATGTTCCAATTTGTTGTTCTAATTATTTGTTATTATGTTGCGCTCATTGTTGCACCAACTGTTGTTCTAGTTGATGTTCTTATTGATGTTCTCATATGGTTGTTGATGTTCTCATGGCTGTTCTCAGTGTCAATGGTTCTTGAATTGATGTTATGTGTTCGTTGTCATTGGTTGTTTAGTTGATGTTAAACTTTTGGGGGCCATGGTTCTAGCCAAGACGAACAACACAAAATCCAAAAATAAAGCACAACCACTCCCAAATTATATCTCGACCCTGTAAATGTTGGGTGGGCGCACCCCCCTTGGACTCCCCACTGGTCTTTTTCGGAGGATCTGGCTCGCGGCCTGGGCCGGCGCCGGAGCGAACGGAGCGGCGGAAGCAGCGCCTGGGCGAAGGGTAGGGCTTCACGCCATGACCCAATAGCCACGTGTTGGTTCACTTGTTTTTTTCCGCAAAGGAACAGAGATACCGGTTTGCAGATGATTGTTGCAGTATGTTCAGAAAAAGGGAACAAAGATACCCTCCCGTCCGGAAACATGGAACTTGACCGAGAGGTCCTGGAAGAGCATATTTGATTGAAAGGGGCCCTGTTGTGGATTTATGTTACTGGACAGGAGCGTACATGTTTGAATGATTTTGTTCAGAATTGTTCTGCCGTGCTTCAATCAATGGGGGAGTGGGTGGGCTTGTTTGCAGCATGAGCACAATGAGCCTGGCGATAAGGCTCCAGATTTGGAAGTGGGAACATCTCCCGTGGCGTACTACCATGCCGCAAGATAGTGAACTAGCGCAATAGGCACAAGCTGCATCCGCTGCTTTTTGCTAGCAAGGAAGGCAGAAGGCAGATCCCCAGCCAGTGCTTGGGCGTCGAGCAGTGAAATGTTGGGAATGCCGATCCGAAAGCTTGATTCTTTGCCTTTGTGTGAGACGGCGAACCACCCGACTGCCATATATTCGAGGCATTGCTGGTGCCCTTTCAGGCATTGAACCTGAGGCGCGAGGGGGGGGGGGGGTGGGGCTGGGCTTTGGGTGACCAGCTCTCCACCCCAACCATGGGCACATACATGGTGTGACCTTAGCCTTGGACCTTTTTGGAAGCAAATTGGCTTTCCCCTTGAATCTACAAAAGGCCCCTTTTTTGCTCAGGAGAAAGAGCAACCCAGATAAGTTGTTGAGCTCCCCCGTTAGATTCCCCACCCTTATGAGTGCGGAAGGCTTACAGGCGTGCTCAAGTCACGCAGACAACTCCATATACACCTGCCCAATGCCATTGAGCAAGCAAGCTGGTGCGCACACCCGACAATCATCGGAACAAGTGCAAAACACGTTTTTGAACAACTACTATCCTGCCCTCGAACCACTCAGCTTGGAGTCGCCACGTGTATGGGAGATCTCAAAAAACAACGTGAGAGTCTCCCTAGGCTCAGCAGCCCCAAGCCCGTACGTGTTATCCATGATAGGTGCGCGGGCGCGAGAGGCAGCCTGGGAGCCCCAGTGCCACAGCCTTCATGTTGAGGAATGCCGCGCCTTGGTTTGGACAGCAACCCTCAATGTGCGGTTCACAGCAAGGAATATCAAGGGTGAAGAGCAGCCCTGGTGTACTCGAGCCACGCTTGAGCTTTGAAAGGGCCTGGGGAATTGTGCGCGGGCATGCAACGGAAGAACAACCCTGCAATGCAGATAGCCGTGCTGTCGCAATAGAACAAGACAGGTTGACGTGGTCCTACATTTCAAAACCAAGCCAAGCAAACCAAGGTCATAACAAAAGAAAAGTATTTTTACTTCAGGCCCCAAGGGCCCCAAAATCAGAACCAGAACCTCAAGCCCCTACCTTGCACTACTTCTTTGCTTCTTTGTTGTCCCAATTTGCTCAGCATTAGTGACTGTACCACCCTGGCCAGCAAGGCCACAAGGATTTGCCGTGCGTGCATCGTTTCCAGGCACTTGGCCCAAGCTGGATACGCTTGGAACACGTTGCAGTTTCGAGCGTCGCCATGAAGCTCAAGTCGTTGGTTCTCAGCTCCTTTCAACAGGCTTGCACAAGCACCCACCAAGAGGCTTGTGCACAGCAAGCGCATCAAAAGTTGTGTTGAAGGGATCCGTGAACGGCACGATACGGCACAGTATTCTTGGTCATTCACCTGAACTTGACCAGAACGGAGTGTCGAGTTGCCTTAAACCGCTTACCGGCAAGCGCCAAGCGACAAGTGCATTGCCATGTTGCAGCGGCTTGTGCCCAGACGGAGGCGGGGCCCTCCAATGTCTCACCTTTTCGCCCATTTGACAGGGCGAGCTCCTGGACGCTTTTTGTTTGCCAACTCGACCACTCCCCCACGTGTTCAGTCATTGATGATTTAAATGTGCCGAGTCACCGCTCAGCGCAGCCCGAAGGTCCTCGCACCTCTTTGTTTTCGGCCTTGCGCTCTCACGACTGGCATCCACCTTTGTCTCGGTGCCCCTTGCTCCTCGAAAGCTGGGCCGCACAGAGGTGACTTGGCGCACGGCAGCCGGGCTCACGCCTACAGGAATGCAGTATTACACTGCTCGGTTTCTGCAGCATGTGTGTGTTTTTTCTTCCGGGCCAATGCCAGCATGCAAGGTATGTATGGGCATGTATGGGCTTTAATGCGGCTTGGGGCTAATGTCATGCACTCTGGTTAGAATTACCCCGCTGCATCAGGACATGTGGATTGCACCGGATACATAATGGCCTTGATTCGCCCTGGGTGCGTAATAGTCTTCTTGATATTATATTGTAGGCCCACATGGACCTGTGTTTGTTTGGGAAACAGGCATGCCATCGGTCGATCTTCAGTCCACGTCTCAGCCCACTTGCGTGTCAAAGAAGGGACCGGAAGGACACTTAGATGAACAAGTCCAATGCAGGCGTTTGTTTGGCCTGATTTTGGCTGTTTTGTTTTATCGAAATCAGCAGCTTATTACCTTTCTGTCAAACTTGAAGCCTACCACTTGGTGTGTTGACAATCGATCAGCCTGGGACCTGAGGTGCGGGGAGTGGAGCTCCGCGCAGTGAGCCAAGTTGCGGAAAAGGTCTCGACGAGCTTGACAGAGGCCTGGGTCACGCCAGGCAACCTCCAAGAACCTGCGCGTATAGCCTGAAATCAAGCCCACTCTTGGCGTTTGGAAGCCAATGCAGGAACCTGAATTTGTGGATAGATCTGCACATGAGCCGTTCAGAGATGCGGTATTGAACTATTGGGCAGCGTCATTGCCCAAGACTCTTTCTCTCTTTCTCTCTCTCGCTCTCTCTCTCTCTCTCTCTCTCTCTCTCTCTCTCGCTCTTGCTCTCTCTTGCTCTCTCTCTCGCCGCATGTTGGTCCGCACTTCTGCCTTTTCCCCCTGCAAGGCCAGCGTGCAATCGCAGGTCTCCGAGCTCTTTAGGGAAGCGCTAGCTGCTTTCGGCGAGGCGGCTCCGCTGGTGACGGCTGCTGACCCGCGCTTCGGCGACTACCAATGCAGCTTGGCTTGGGTGTGGACCTTGTTTTGCGCATGATGGGTTTCGACATTTTGACTGGATGTGGCAGCTGTCGTTGCAAGTGATTGGCGAACATCTGCAAAAGAGCGCTACAAACTAGGCCGTGTGGCCATGCATTTTGACATTCCTTTCCGGGGTACTGGCCAAGGCAACAATGCGATGGGCCTTTTCAAGCAGAGCAAGCAAAACGGCGGCAAAGATGGCTGGCAGCTTGGACAAAGAAGCGGCTTTTGGCGCAAGCTTGCTCAGCCTGACTCGCAAAAATCAAGCCATGCTTCAGGCACAACTCACACACCCCTGTTGGTGAGATTTCTTGAAACACATGTTCCGAGCACTTCTGATGAGAATTGTCGAAGGGGGCCACCTTGCTTTCCACCGAGGAAGAGTCCACGAGACGTGGGTGAAGCGATCAAGAAGGCTTTGCCTGCAGAGAGCTCGCAGCTGTTTTCAGAGGCGAGGGGCTGTGATCGGCGCCAGCCGCTTGCACTGTCCAGCATTTTGGGGCTGCATGCCACAAGCACCTTGGGGTTGACTCACTGTACCCAAAGTCTAATCTAGTTTCCAACCCAGTTGTGCTTCATCGGCGGCCTGATTCCGTTGCTGTCCAGCTCAGGAAATGGTTTTCTTTCTCACATGGCCAAGTGCCTTGCACGGATCCTTTGACCCTGTTTGGCGTCAGGTGACTGTGGCGCCGCAGGGCTTCATCACAGTGAAGCTGAGTACCGGGTGGCTGGAGGAGAACTTGCAAATGGAAAGGTGTTCCATGCTTGGCTTCTTTTGGAAAGAGTAGCATGAGTGCCCCCTTCAGTCTTGTCGCACGTGCGGGTCTGGTGGTGGTTTCGCACGTGTGGGTCTGGTGGTGGTTTATGGGCAGTCAGTGTTGTTCTGCGCTATCGTCTTGGCATTGCGCATGGCACATGCTGTTAAAATTGCATAGTTGTGCAGTCCCATTGGTCAACCTTCACGGTACATTGGCCTTTGCTTGCAGTGACCCAACTTAGCTGCCATCATGGCGTAAGAGACCAGCCGGCCTGCCTCATGGCGAGCTCGCCAAGCGGTAAATACTGCCGGACCTTTTCACGACGTGGGTTCTGCATTCTTTGGGAACCTTGCTATGTAATTGCGTACGCCCTAGTCTCATCATGGAAGAGTCAGAGGAACTAAGTCCTGACGTATGTGGTGAATGGGTTCGCAGCTGAGACCTTGCAATGCCGCTGGCTTCAGGACCAGGTGACTCAGGTCTTCGAGCACGGGCTGCAGCTGCAAAGCAGCTCGCGCCAGCGGATTGCCATCGACTACTCCTCGCCGAACATTGCGAAGGAGCCGTGGGCGGCCGCTTTTTTTGGAGTGCCGAAGCTGATGGCCTGCTCACCGTAAAGCGGTTGCGAACGCCTTGCTTCAGGATGGAATAGCTCGCCACACGTGGCAAAGAAGGCCTGCTCAGTGCGTTTGACGGACCATTCGACACTGGCACAACTCCCCCACAATGTACAGACGAAGTGTCCATTCGCGCCATGAGAGGTGCAAATTCTTTCTGGCGGCTACCACGGTGCATGTCCACAGGCATAGTGCATCCCAGATATTCAGAATCGAATATAGTCTAAGCAAGAAGGTGAGTTCAGCCGTTCGAGTTGCCTTCCAGTAATGCAAACCCGTGAATAGGCAATGGGCACAGTGGCCATGACCTACATGGGACTTTCTCAAAATGTGTTTTTTCCCTTGGTGGTAAAAAAGAAATCCAATAGAGCCCAACCACGGTTTTGAGAAACACCCACTTCAGGAGATGCACGTAGGGCATTTGCGGTCCACCATCTTGGGGGACACCCTTGCCAACCTCTTCGACTATTTGGGCCACGACGTGGTGCGCCTGAACCACGTGGGGGACTGGGGCACCCAGTTCGGCATGCTGCTGGAGTACATGCGCCAAAAGGATGCCCTCGATGGCGAGTCCCCTTCCATGGTCAGCGACTTGCAGAAGTTCTACCGCAAAGCCAAAGAGGCCTTTGACGAGGACGAGGACTTCAGGAAGTCTGCGCAACATGGCTCAAGATAATAGGAAAGGGGTCAAGCTCCTTCCAGAAATCGATGCCAAAGGGAAGGTGTGACTCCAGGGCTTGCTAAGTCACCGCTAATTCTGCTCCGTACTCCAGTCCGACACCGAGGCAAGGGAATGTGGTGGAGCTGCAAAGTGGCGCGGAGTGGGCCCAAAATGCCTGGAACCGGATCTGCGAAGCCAGCCGCAAGGAGTTCGACTTGGTGTACCAGCGCTTGGGCATTGAGGGCCTGCAGGAGCGGGGCGAGTCCTTCTACAATGAGATGCTGCCCGAGGTGGTGGATGAGCTCAAAGAGAAGCTCACTGAAAGATATGGCAGTGGTTGTCAAAACTCATGAGATCCCATTTGCGGGTAGGTGCACCACCCATTTTGGTGGGGATTGGGATGTTCACTGGATGGGGGTACGGGATTTTGGCCCATGGCAATATGGGCGTGTGTCATAAGTTCGAGCGGACGCATTATCCTGGGTCGAAGTGGAATCTTACGTTTCGAGCGGGGCGATGAGCATGCCAAGTAGCTTGAGTGCGCCGCAAAGCCGGTTGGTTGCAGTTCACCTCATTTGCAGAACATGGCTCCATCGAGTCAGGGAAGGGATAGAAGTTAGAAGGCAGTGATCAGTCAAGTTGCTAAGGAAAGGCCTGGTCACAGAGAGCGACGGCGCCCTCTGCATTTTTACAAACATCTCAGAGACCCCGCTGATCGTGCAGAAGGCCGACGGTGGCAGCCTGGCTGACCAAGGGAAACATGATAACTTGCCCAGTTCAGTGATTCAGGGCACTGCCTGCTTAACCTACAGGAAACTCCTTGGAGTTGCACATGCCGTGAACGCCTGGGAGCAAGTCAAAAGCAGATGCAAAGCTTGCCATTGGCTCGGATGCCAACCGAGGCTTTGGCTATGACTCTACGGACTGCGCGGCAGTACGCCACCGC